ATATTATCATGTTGTAGATTACATCCTTAGTACTTATTTATAACTGAGCGTTTCTACCTTTTGACTCCCTTCATCCAGTTCCCCCCTTAAATGACATGATATTTTAAGGTTCTCAGAAATGTGCGTGGTGCACAGTAAAAAGTGTGCAATAAATGTTAGCTGCTGGTGTGGTAAATGTTAGTGGTGGTGGTGGTCACAGTAGTAATAGTAAGTAGTATATGAGGACTAAGAAGATGGCAAATAGATACTGCATTAATTTCCCATTGCTCAGCTCATCTGAATTTAGTGGAGTCACACAATCAAGAAGTACAGAGCTATTTGTTTTGAGTTTCTGTGAGCTGCTTTTTTGTGTGTTAATCTCTGGGTGTGTCTGAAATATCAAGTATTTGCCATATACATAGGGCTCAATTTTACAAAGAACTGACTGATCTGAAAGTCAGTCAAGGAAATGTGGTATTCTGGGAATTTTGGACAATGGTATATGAATGACGTAAGTGTTCTAGAAGTTGCCCATGTGTCCAAATGGTTAACAGTGCTGGGGCCACCTGACTCCATGAAAGGAAAACCTATAAAGTGGTACTGGGAACCACAGTGAATTTAAATGTAATTCCCAGGGCCTCATCCTGTCTTGTTCTCTAGATACGATTCACACCTGATTTTCCTAATTAAAATCTAGCAAGGGTTGAATGTCTTCTTCCATAGACTGTATTCCAAGTCCATCATAAAATGAAAAGCTTCATGTATAGTGAGTATTCATAACTGTATGTGTGTATTCATTTTCTGTTGCTTTGTAACAGATTACCACAACTTAGTGGCTTAAAACAACACAAACTTATTATCTCACAGTTTTCGGTCAGGACTCCAGGCACAGCTAAATGGATCTGTTGCTCAGAGCCTCACAAACTTGCAATCCAGGTGTCAGCCACACTGCACTTCTCATTTGGAATCCAGGGTCCTCTTCCAAGCTTTCCAGGTAGCAGAATTCAGCTCCTTCTGGTTGTAGGACTGAGGTCCTGGTAACTGTTGGTTGGGGAGTCCTTCAGCTTACAGGCTGCCTGCACTTTCTTGCCTTGTGGCCCCCATAGGCAGTTCACAGCATGGTGTTTGCCTTTTTCCTAGGCCAGTAAGAACATGTCTCTAATTTCCAGTCCTTTCCCAGTCCTATAGTGGAGTCTTAAGTAACTTAACATAATCACAGGGGTGACGGTTCCAGCACCACCTGCCATGTAATGTTACCTAATCAAGGGAGCATCTGTTCCATCCCATTCACAGATTCTGCCCGAACTCACAGGAAGGGAATTATAGGATGTGTGCATGAGCAGGGCAGAAATCTTGGGGGCCATCCTAGAAGTCTGCCTACCCTAGTATGTGATGAAGTGAGAAATCAAACACGGCTGGAGATAATCAAATGTAACATTAGCTGAGGCACAAGAATCAGAGAAGCCCAGCCTAGCCTGTAGGCATGTTCTCTAATTTACTCAAGTCTCAAGAGAAGCCAAGCTTTCATTGGTATGGAGGGTCAAAGGCATGCTCCAGCCTACAGGCCTAGAGGTGCATGAAGCGACTCAGGCATTAAATGAAAACAAAGGCTGGTGTGGACCTTCTGGAATTCAGAAGATCACAACCCAATCTGCAGCACAAAACTGATGAGATTGTCTGGGATTTCCAGTGTATCCCATGAAGTATCATCAGAAGATGAAATGAGAAAACGAAACCATGTAATATAATTGCTTAGGAAAGTGGGATTCTCCTAAGGCAGAAGGAAAAAGCAGTGCCTGCCTCCGTAGGATGAAGAGGCCAAGAGCTGTAGTGGGGCTGGCCATCTACAGAGGCAGAAACCAGATGGTGACACAGCTCTGCCTTGGAACATCTGATTGACTGTAGCATATGAATGTTGTTGCCAGTATCATTTACATTCATATCAACTCTCTGCTCTTAATCTTAGATAATTCCTCCATATTTATCATTTATACACTGTACATATGCACTGTGTACACAGCATCCTGCCAAGTCTTTTCCTTTCCTTTCTGTTGCTTGAAAGGCTCTGGACCAGCACTGTCCAAGAGAAATGCAATGCAAGCCCCGTTTGTAATTTAAAATTTTCTGGTAGTAACATTAAAAAATTAGAGATGGGTGAAATTAACTTTAATAATATGTTTAATTTAACCCAGTATTTCCAAAAGATTATCATTTCAACATGTAATCAGTATAAAAATTATGAATGGTATACTCTTTAGCTTTGTACTAAATAAGTCTTTGAAATCCACTGCGTATGGTGCATCTTACTTCAGACCAGCCACATTTCAGGTGCCCAGCAGCCACGTGTGGCTAATGACTCCTGCAGGGAACAGCACACCCCTGGAATTCCATCTCAGGCCTCTGATTGTGGGCGTTTAACTTTGACTCTCATCTTTCCTTGTACTCACTTTCTAGATAAACTTGCCAGCTCCAGTCCCCATTCCGTTGCCTTGTGTAATAGTAACCGTTACATATCCCTCCATCCTGCCCCTCTTCTTCTGCCCTGACCTCCACTGCTAAGCCAGGTGCATCCAGGTTACACACAACTAAAACTGAGTCCCTTTCCTCTGGTTTCTTTCCGAGCTTCAGCATCTCTTATAATGCCAAAGTGTCTTCCCTCCTTCTCTGCTCCTCTGTCCCAGTAGCGACACGTCTTCCTTTCACTTCTTCCTCATAGTCTCATGTATGCTTTCCTTTCTTTCTAGTCCAACACCTAAACCACTGATTCAGATCTTGGTCATATCTCACTGGGGCTTCCTGGGTTATTAATCTGCTTCTTCCAAACCTGTATTCTAAAGACTACTTTTCTACCTGAACATTGTTATCATTTTATATATATGTGTGTATGTGTGTGCATATGCATATGTGTATATGTATATATACACACACATATGTGTATATATATATACAGTTATTTTATTTATATATATGACCAATCAATAAAGCCAATATTTTAAAAATACACCTACTATCTACATTCATTTCTTTAAAAAATTACTTAACTATGTACCCCAACTGAGAATAAATTATGATGCTTTCAAAAGGAAAATATATATCATGACCAATACAATAACTACAACATATAATGGAAGCCATGTAGACAGATAATGAAGGCCATAAAAACTCACAGCCCAGATGGTGTCCTTCAGGCCACCACGTTAAGGGAAGGCTGCTACAGGAATCCACAAACCCTGAGCTGCCTTGTGGGGAAGGAAGATGCCTCCTCACCTGAGCAAAGCATGGAAATGAAAACATACAGGCAAAAACATGTCTTCCCAGCCCTTTAAAAATAAGGACTAAAGTCTAGCTTCTCTACTCTACAGAATGTTTTGGTTGGTGTCTGTCAACCTGCTTCCACCCCACCCCCGAAATAGTTCTTAACCCTGGTTGTACAACAAAATCCTTGGAAAGTTTGAGAAGAATGCCAGTGCCTGGGCCCCACAGGCCTTCAGGAACTACGTAATCAGTCTCTAGAGGTGGGCCCCAGTCAGAAAGCTGGTGTCAAGAGCCACAGTCTTAATTCAGTTCTGCCCCTCAGCTCTACCTCTTGACCTGTGCTGGGAATAATCTTCTATTCCATATCATAGAGAGTCATGGTACTTTAAAGCTAAAAGGATCCCCACATTACTTGTCCAGCTCTTTCATTTTATCAATGAGGAAACAGGTCTAGGATGATTCAAATCACACAGCTGTTTAGAGGCACAGCTAAGACCAGGACCCTTCCCTTAGATAGTCATGCCAGCTACACAGACTGGATAACAGGATGCCAGCACTACAGCCATGGACAGACAACTAGGGCTCAGAGAACGTTATGTGGACTAACCAGCATGGAAGGATAGCAAGTGGTCAGCTAGGAATGGCCAAGCTGAGGCCCTGCAGGCAAGGATGATTCAGATCATTCAACAACAACATAAAATAATGGCTTCAAACTTTCGTGTGTGTAAGAATCAGCTGAGAGCCTGTTAGAAATGCATCTTCCTGGGTCCTTTCCTAATTCAGTCATTCTGGCATGGGGCCAGGGAAGGGGCATTTTAACAAGCCACCCAGGTGATTCTGATGTAAGTGATTTGAGGACACCTGCTGGGATGCATAAAACACTAATCTAAGGTAGAAGGTTGTTGCTGGCTTCAAGAGACTGGCTTCTTGGCTACTGAAAAGTGAAGACTCAAGGATGGGTTAGTTATGGGTCTGTCCCTATCAGCAGTAGGAGGTCAGGACACAAACTAGGGAAGAATAACAGATCACTCCTGCAGGAATGAGTGCATTTAGAATTTAGAATTTAAGGATGGATAGCAGCCGAAAGTGACGTTTGTATTTGTCTTCAAGTGTAATCCTCTGAGGGAAAGAAAGCTTTAAAAAACTATATTCTCTGAATGGTTCAGCTCTGTAACAGGTAACAAGTACAGCAATACCATTTCTATGTTATTTGAAAATTTGCCAAGAATTTTTAACGTAGATTTTTCTCACTTGAATCTTCCAGCAGCCTTTCAAGTGGATAGGATAGGTAGTACTGCCTCTGCTTTCCTGACCAACAAACACATCTGAGCCATGTGGTGACCTTCAACGAGCTACTTGCCTTCTCTGAGTTTCAGTTTTCCCATCTGTGAGGTGGAGATAATAGTACCCTCCTCATGGGGTTGTTGTGAAGATTAAATGAGATCATTTTTTCAAATATGTCTGGCACATAGTGGCTGAGTAAGTATACTTCCTTAAAGATAAGTAGAGAAAACTAACTTTAAGTTAATGATTATTTCCCATAGGTAACACATACCAAAGTTGGGATATGATTCAAATTAATGAGAGTATTGATGGCATTTTGATCTTCTGGGTTGCCTAGCAACCAAAACACCATACCACAAGCTACCAGAGTTGTTCTCATCAGGAATTCAGCTGCTCTTAAGGAACTCAAGGTTGTAAGAAGACAGAAGGGTTCTTCTATGAATTTAGAGTTCTGCCAGACATTTTAGATAAGTGATGTCCCAACCCGCTGGCGTCTTTGTCCTGAACTATCTTGGATGTCGAAATCCCCCCCCACTTCTGCTTCCCTGGGTGACAGAAGATGGTAGAGCATCTGTTGAATTGGATGGCGCGTGGGGATGGAAAAGGCAGAGCGGGCTTGTACTTCTCTACCAGTGTGTTCAGTCCACAGTCACTGAGTGCCGGGGGTCAGAAATACAAAAACATTTGCCTTTGCCCCTTAAGAAACGGAATAGGAAGTGAGTCAATGTTGAATATTAATACAGCAGATTATTTCATGAGTGGCTTTCTATGTCTACGCCCCTGGCAGTATTCTAAGCCTTAAGGGTTCAGCAGTGCAAGCGGATACAGCAGGTCTTAAATATCCACTGTTAGGATTATTATTTTCCTGGCAAACCGTCCTGGCAGAATATCCCACTGGTCTCCCAGCGCATCAAATCAGATTCACAACCTTGAAAGTCGCATTGCCTGCTGGAGAGAGCATGAAGCTGAGCGGAGAAGGACTTGAACTTCCACCCCACTGCTGGGACTTACTGCCCCTTTTACCTGAAGCAAGTGGCTGAACCTCTCCCATGCCCCACCTTTCTCATCTGTAAGCTGAGCGTGATGGTTTAGATTCTGCCTCCCTCACGGCAGTAAATGTGATGCAACGGGATAATAAATGTCCGAGTTCTGAACCGATAAATGCCATTTCAGAGCTAAACTTCATCATTTTGCCACCAAGTTTATATCACATTTCACTGAGCAGCCTCGTGCCTTCCTTTCCCTTTCCATACTCCTTATAACTCAGAAGCTTACGATTTAAAGAAAAAAGGGAAGGGGGCAAAGCTTGGAAATAGTGTGTTTCTTTGCACTTAATTTTGTCTCCATCATTGGTATCTCCACGTGTTAACTTCTTTTGCAGGGAAGGCCAGCTTTATTGCGTAAGAAATCTATTGTGCTGCTTTGGCAGTTCAGCATTTATTTACCCCAAAACATGACTTACGGCCCAGAGGCCGTTAAAGCAGGCAGCTGGGGGATGAATCACGTTCAGCATTCGTGTAGTGCGGCTGGTTCATGCCAGGGGAACACTCGGGCTCATCACCTGCCCCTGTCAGTCCTCCTTCTTCTAATAAAGTGCATCTGTTTTGGTGACTCAATAAAAACACACCAAGTGGAGAAAGGCTGGGTGTGGAGTAATTTAATCAGGGCAAGCCAGCACTCCCTGTTGAGTGATACAGTATCAGCGATAGGAAGATGGTTGGGTAGCAGCTTATTGAAAGAGAAGCCAACCGGAAAGGGCCAGAAACACAGTTCCTCTTGTAATCACAGTGGGTCACGCTCCAGGAATGTCGCAGCCCAGTACAGCCCCCAAGTCAAGAGTTTAAGGGTTCAAGATTCCCATTAGCTTCCCTCTAAATTGCCACAAACGTTTTATGTGGCCTTTCTCTATTAGCATGATTTTAACAATTTGTTGAGGATTATACATTTTTCAGGAAGTTCAAACCCAAGTTCAGAGCTCTCCTGGCAGTGCTTTTAATTTCGGCTTTCATGGCTGTGTTTGGCATCCTGAGGAATTGATTGATTTAAAAATACCCGAGTTTCAAAAGTAAACCAACAGGGAGACTGACATTTGCAGTTTGGTATTTCACGGTTCTCATTTATTGTTTTTTTTTTTTTTTAATGTTTCTTTGTTGTGAGTCTCCGGTAGCATTTAATTTTGTGTTTTGTTTAAAGAGGGGAAGTGAAATGGGTTCAGGGGGCCAGTCTGCCTTGAATCTCATCTCTCACAGAGGGATGGGTGGAGTGATAATTAAAGAGAGGCAGAATGTTTAAAATGCATTTGAAAGCAGGGTACACAGAAATAACAACACGACTGTACGTTTTAGGTCTGTGTTATTTCTTTCTTCTAATGAGTCACCTGCTGGTGTTCTCGAAATCCTTACTTGCTGAGGAAAGAATCACTGTCCAAGGGGAAAAACCAGGACCTTCAGCAGCAGCAGCTTCTTTATTTTCATTTCTAGTTTCGTGGGTAGTTCTACTGTTCCCTTTCTTACCTAAGTCATTTTTCACCTCTGTCTGTGGATTTGTTCCTATGAGACCAGATCTGTGATATCTGATACGTTATTAACGGGTGTCCTGGAAAAAAAAATCTATCTCAAAAATAAAAACACTACATAGAGTGCACAGTTGAAGGTTTTTCAATGTTATTTGGGTTTCAAAAAATAAACTGGATGAATGCTTCACATTGAAACCATTTATTGTTGAGAAACCTGGTGACAAATGATACATATCCTACAGCTCTGGCATCACGGTTAAATCTCTCCTGAGTCAGATCACATATTAGCATTTTTACCATATGTCTGAAAGGGTGGGGAATATATGTGCAGAGGAACAAGTCTAGCATTTTTGACCATCTGGTAAATAAATGTGTGAGTAGCAGGAATTGTAGTATTTATTTAGGTGTATGGATGCAACCTTTAACTGAAATAGCCTCTAATACAGTAGAGTAAAACTGAATTTATATTCCTCAAATAGTTTCAATTTAATTAATTAAATATTTTCACAGTCTACTATGTGCTCTTAAAATCTGAGTCCTAATTGTGTGTTTCTTATGTTTATCTATCAGGGCTCCTTACAGGGCCTAATGTAAAATATCTCGATGGGAGACCACATGATTGGATCCAGTACACAGACTCGAGTGCTGAAGTTCTGCTTTGTCACCAGCCACTGTGTGGCCTGAGATAAATTCCTTGGCCTCTCTGAGTCTCGAACTCTTCATCTGTAAAGAGTGAATGGCATATTGTCGAGCAGTATCTCTCAAAGGGTGGGCCGTGGAAGGCCATGGACTGATGTATCAAAATTATGTGGGGAACTCGTTCAAAATACCAACACTTAGAGACTCTGACTCAGTATATCCGAAAACAGTCTGTGAATCTGCATTTTTAGTCACTGTCCCAAGAGATTCTGAGGTGCACTGAATTACTGTTAGAGAGACCAGCTGATGATAGCTCTTAACTTTCTTGAAAAATATGTAGGTAGCTAATTCTAACAAACACTAAAATTTCTGTAAACAATATATTATTAATAAGCACAACTCTAAAGTATGCATTTTATATGCTAGAAATTAAACACTTGACAGTATTTGTGCTTAAAATATTCTAACTTCATAAAACATAGGATGTCAGTTTGAATAAGTAATGCTGGTGATTCGTTAAATATACTTTCCAAATTCTCCTTGTTTAATAAGGATCTTTTCTCTCCTTTTTTCTTACACAGGAAACCACAGAATATTTGTGATCTAAGTCAGGAGCCCAGATGAACTTAAGGGAGCGAACATGGGATTCTTAGTTTTCTAGGATCCATGTGCACCAAATCCTTAATCAGCCCAACACCAGCGTCTAGGCTTTCTCTGGTTTTGTGAAGACTCAGCAAAACTCTGATGATGGGAAAGCAAAAGACTTAATTATTTGCTTCGATAGCCTCTAACATCAGCGGAGAAGTGAACCAGACGGTAGTACAGCCATGGAAAGAAATTCAAGTTTATGGAAGAACCTAATAGATGAACACCCAGTCTGCACCACCTGGAAGCAAGAGGCCGAAGGAGCCATCTATCAGCTTGCCAGTATTTTATTTGTAGTAGGTTTCATGGGTGGCAGTGGATTCTTCGGGCTCCTTTACGTCTTCAGTTTGCTGGGGTTGGGTTTCCTCTGTTCTGCTGTCTGGGCTTGGGTAGATGTCTGTGCCGCAGACATATTTTCCTGGAATTTTATATTGTTTGTCATCTGCTTCATGCGGTTTGTTCACATTGCCTATCAAGTCCACAGCATCACCTTTGCCCGAGAATTTCAGCTGTTGTACAGCTCCCTCTTCCAGCCTCTGGGGACTTCATTGCCTGACTTCAGAACTATTGCTATGAGCTCAGAAGTGGTTACTTTGGAAAAGGAGCACTGTTATGCCATGCAGGGGAAAACCTCCATTGACAAACTCTCCCTGCTTGTTTCAGGAAGGTGTGTACTCTTGCTGCTCGTGTGCTTTCCTCTCTGGTAGTTACTAGCTTATGTTTCTTTCAGATGCATTTTTCCATCTCAACATAGCATAGTCTCAGGCAGCATTCAGCACCCTGAGGCATGAGACAGCCCCTGACACATGAGTCAGGGGCACAGGCATTTAGAGTACATGGTATTATTTACTTAGAGCAGGATATAATCTAGAGTCTTAATATTTCTCCCTAGAAATCAAATGTATGAATCGATTTGTCTGGGTAGGCTATTTGCTTCCAAACCAATCACTGAGAGTCTTCTGAGTCAAGAAAAGGATGATGCCAGCTTGAATTAATAGAATACTTATATTAGCATGCAAAGTATTTTAAATAGATTCTAATAGGGCATTCTTTTAAATAATAGAGAACATTTAAATTTTATCATGATCAATTTTCTTTCAGTAAATTATAACAACTGCCTACTTGCTAGAAGGGGGGAGGTGCACCACACACACACACACACACACACACACACAATTTGAAAACAAAGTTTGCAGGAGGAAACAATAATATGATTACTCATGTTTTTAAAAAGTTTAAATATTTAGTTTACAGAGGTATTTCCAGTGGTAATCCTTTATGTTCTCCTACTTAATTTAAAATCTGACTGAGTGCATTGGAACTTTTTATGGAAACATACACACATAAATGGACACAGATCATAAATATTCAGTTTGATGAATTTTCTGATGAATTTCACGCAGTATTGCAGAATCCTAACTATGTGTGGAATAGCAGTACATAACTCTCCCAGGAGATTTTTTTCACTTACTGTAATGTATGAATTTAATATTTTGCCCTTCCAGATTTTAAAACCCAAAGAAATCATAAGAGAACTGAAATACTGCTCCCTCCCTTCACCCCCAATTTAGTGCTCTCTTTCTCCTTCCCTCATAACTGATGTCCTTTGTGTCTGGGTAGGATCAGAGTGACAGTTGACGGCGAATTTCTGCATTACATTTTCCCCTTCCAGTTCCTGGATTCTCCCGAATGGGACTCACTGAGACCCACAGAGGAAGGCATTTTTCAGGTAAGGGATCAGTAGACCACATGGTAAACACTGCCTCTTACAGACAGATAAACACTATTTAGTGTTGATCACCATGTCACCCAAAGCTGGGTGACAGTTGTGTTTCCTCGGGGGCACCCGATCCACAGTGGGTGGTCAGTGTGTTAAAAACAGGCAAACAAGCAAACAGGACAGCAGATGACATAGGAATAGCTTACATTTAACTTTGGAATGTACTTTGTGGCATGCACGATTCCTCAGTTCTGTCTGAGTCTTGCTGATTAATGTCACTTTATAGGTCCAGCAACAAGGAGAAGAATGGGTATGACAAATAACAGAAAGGAGTCTGTGATAAATAGTCTTAAACTTTCCTTTGATTAGCTGCATATATGGGAATTAAAATATAATTAATTGATATTTGACTCAGAACTAAACACTGCCACCTGTCACAGTTTAGAAAAATACCAGGAACAAAAAAATCTGCTCTTATTACAAAATAAGTAACTTTTAAAGTTCAAAATGCTGATGAATTTCAGTTGTTTTCTAGCAATAAAAGGCTAAACTTACTGTCACGACTCTGTTGTCATATCTGGTAGTTTTGACAGACAGTCCCCTCCATAGGGTCTATTACAGTATCCTGTTTTCTGGTTAATACCTGTGACATACGTGTATGTGTACAAATACAAATTCATGTACATATCAGAACAGGTAAATAAATTCTATCCAGTACCACAGAATTAGGGTGGATTAGTGTTAAATGCCCATAGTCTTCAGGATTGTCTTGGAACTAACAGCCAACTTTATTATTTTTTATAATCAAGTAGCTCTCACTGCAATAAAATGCAGACTATGTACACTGGAACTTAGAAAACTGGAGATGGGCACAACATTGTGATTATTCATGTTATAAATTACATATATAGTAGTAAATACAGTAGTTTTTCTATTTTTACAATATATTGTGGGTTGGTGGGCTTTTTAATGTAAAAAAGCAGCAAATGGAATTTATTTAAAATTTGGAGCCAAAAAAATGTGGCTGAACTTTTCTTGCTTCCTAATCTCTATTTATATGTGGTCTCTGTTTTTTCAGGTAACCCTCACAGCAGAAACTGATTGTCGCTATGTGTCTTGGAGGAGAAAGAAATTATATTTGCTCTTGGCTCAGCATCGTTACATCTCCCGCCTATTTTCAGTCTTAATTCGTAGTGACATTGCAGATAAACTCTATGCCTTGAATGACAGGATATATATAGGAAAAAGGTACCATTACGATATTCGGTTACCCAACTTCTACCAAATGTCAACTCCAGAAATGTCCAGATCACCCCTGACAGAGCATTTTCGGAATTCCAGGCAACATTGTGATAAACAACATTGAAGTCTGAAGTTTTATAATTGTAAAAAAAGACTCTCTTCATCATTCCCCAAATGAAATAGCAAAATACAGAAAATCGAGCTCACTAATATTTTTATAAATCCAATTCAGAAGTAAGATGCCCATTGCCAGCTGTTTTATTCATCTCAACTTGTGGACTGTGAATAAATTCGACACTGTTTTCCTGTATTTCTCATTGTAATATATGGGGGGGGGGATGAGTAACTATGGGCAATTTGTCCTCTTCTGCACCAGAACTGGGAGAGTGAAATTCTGCATTCTCAAATACGTCCTCAGATTTATTCACATCTGCTGCTCTGCCCTGTGGAGTTGGGTGGTGCTTCTCAGGAAGCAGCCAGTGAGTACTCAGCAGGAGGGCAGCCACATCAGTGTTTCCAGAATTCACTCCTTGCTACAACCTCTGATGAAAGCAAGATGTGTTACTGTGGCGGGTGGCAATTCTTTCTTTTAAATGTGAAGTTATTTAATGTGACTAGAAAGTAGAATAAATGCGAGGGATAATAGTATGCCAATCTCGAAGACGATTTATTGCCACAAATCAGCTTAATCATTACTATAACATGTTTAAAAAGAGCCATTTCATGGAAAACAAAGCTGCATATGAACTGCTGAGTAAAAAGAATACCTGTGAGCCAATAGTAAAAATGTTGCACAGTGTTTTAATGCCATGTGTTGGGCTGAAAGGGCAAGGGGGTGGTTTGACTGGACAGTGAGGGGCTCACACTGAATGCTCCACCCACCACACAGGTGCGGCCTCTGCCTTCCCACCACTCCTACCGCTTTGTAAAGCTGCAGCTCAATAAACATGGGCTTAAAGAGACAGATCCTCAGTCACAGGTCTAACTCCTATCTGGAAAACTGGTTTTCTGAAGATCTTTCACAGGCCACGTTCTTTGGCAGCAAGACTTGGCATCACACATTTAACAAGAATTTCTTGAGCACCTACTGTGGCTCTGGTGTTGACCTGGGGCGCTGGGACTATGTCAGGTAACAGAGGTCCTGTCCCTCATAGAGTTGACATTTCTGGGGGTGAGGGAAACAAATGATAAATCGGGAACACCTAGAGATAGAGCACCATGGGGAAAGCCAAATAGGAAAGGTGGCCAGGAAGCGGCGCTGCAGTTTTAATAGTGGTCACGGAAGGTCCGAGTGAGAAAGACCACGTTTGGACAAAGATCTGAAAGAGGCAAAGGAATGATCCATGTGGGTATCTGGGGAGAGAGCAATATGGGCAAATGAGAGCAGATGAGGAGGTCTTCAGGCACAAGCAGGAGCAGCAGAAGGCCAGTGTGGCTGGAGGGAGGGCCGGCAAAAAGGTCACTCTGGGGCCTATTAAGTCACGTTAAGGACTCTGACTTTCATTCTGAGAATGACCAGCAGCCACTGGAGCATTTTAAATAGAAGAATGATGTGACCTGCCCTACGTTTTAATAGAATCGTGTTGGCTAGCCTGCTGAGAATAGACTGGGGGCAGCGGGGACGGCAGCGGGCTTCGAAGGGGAGAGCAGCACTAGGCGTGGGCTGCTTATTAGACGCTGACGTAGAGGGAGCAGTTGGAGGAGTCTCGGGTTCAAGAGAAAGGTCTGGGCTGGAGAAAAAGATTTGGGAGTATTTCACACATAGATCATATTTAAAGCCATGAGATGAGATGACATGGCCAAGGAAGTGAGTGTAAATTCAGAAGAAAAATGGTCCAGGGACCTTTCCTTGGGGGCATTCCAATGTTAAGAGGACAGGGAGATGGGGAGTCACAAAGGATGGAGAAGGAGCAACTAGTGAGATCAAAAGAAAATCAGGAGTAGAGGGTCCTGGGAGCCAAAGGAAGAAAGTGTTTCCAGGAGAAGGGAGTGATGAACTGCTTCAAATGTGGCTGCCACTCGGGTGAGAGGACGTCTGAGAATAAACCAATGGCTTGTGCAGCACGGAGGTCACTGGTGAACCTGACAGGAGCGGGTTTAGTGGAGAGACTGGGGACAGAAACTTGACTGAAGTAGGCCCAGGGGAAATGAGAGGCAAGACGTTGGAAGAACAAGTATATTTATCAACTTTTGATATGTAGGGAAACAGAAATGGATGGTCGGCTGAGCAGGAAGTGGGGTCAAGAAAGAGGTGGTTTAAAGTAAGAGAAATAATGGCATATTTATATGCTGATAGGGATGACCCAGAAGAGAGGGTGAATTGCTGGAGTGGGCGGATGAGTGACGATGGGACCCAGTGACTTTTAACAGGAACGTGGACAATTCATCTTTGGTAAGGAGAGGAGGCAGAGTATATAGCAGTGCAGGTGCTGGCAGATGAGAGAAGTGATGGGGGCTTGTGAGACGTCTCTCAAGATTACTTAGATTTTCTCAGTGATCTGGGAAGCAAAGTTAGCAAGGAGGATGGGATTCCGTAAGAAAAGCACGTTACTTTGTATGTTAGCATCTGCCTAAGTGGGACAGTGTGACAACGTCTGAATCCTTAGTCTGGATGAGCTACTGAGCTATTCAAGCATGAACTAAATGAACAGTTGGAAGGTTCTTCTGTCTCCAGGCACATGTGGCCACCACGGCAGCTCTTACAGGCAGACGCAGTGGCAGCTCTCTGCCTGGTGCCACTGAAGGCCTCCAGGAAGCACCCACTGACTTGGCTTCGCAGTGGCCCTGGGAGAAATTCACTTCTTTGAGCCTGTACGACTTTGTGGTATTGAATATTAAAACACCAGGCACCCCAAGTAGTAGTCACACTGTAAGTTAGTACCAGCTAAAATTTTAACAGGGATTAATTAGTCAACTGAGAACAAAGAAAGTCAACTGGGAACAAAGCCACATAGAAATGGGATGTAGACTTTTGGCTCAAGTCATGTGGCAGAGGGAGAAGAGGCATTTACATACAAGTTTTCCAGAAATCTAAGCATTTTCAGGATTAGGAGGAAGGAATACAAACATAATGGAATAAAGAGATGCTAAGAGATGATGTGAATCCTCTCCATCTATACACTTTTTGTGTAGGGCTGGCACTGCCCCTAGGTGTTAACAGATCGGCTATTATTCAACACCTTGGTTTGCACCCAGCTTTTCTCACTTCAAAAAAAATTTAAAACACAACAACAACAACCCCATAGGGACCTCTATGTATGTACGCTATATGTTTGCTTTCAAATGCTTAGCAAACCACACTTTACTATCTCAAAATACTCTAATCAACTCGCATGGAAAGAAGGAAGCACTGCTCTCCTGGGAAGAGTGCCCCCGAAGTGCAGTACCACAGTGCACTTCAGTTTAATCTCTGTTAAAAATGGGGCTCATTTTAATCTCAGCCCAATTGTTTCCAGCCCTAAATTCCTTTGATTCACTTATGGTTGGTAACAAGTGCAGTAAAATGAGAAGCTGGTTGTTAAAAAGGCTTTATGGCTTTGTACACAAAATCTGTAAGTGTATAAATAAATGGAACCTCTTGTTCCAAAAGTAGTAAGAATTTCAAGATGGAGACAGTAGAGCTTTATACTGAGTGTGGGGCTGGCCCACAAAGCTGGCCCTGGATAAGAGTGGTCCCTCTGACTTGAAGGTGAATGGAGGTGATTGCTTTGTGATTTTTCTGTCCTACATTTCGTGGTCAGGAAGGACTCTGAGAAGTAGCCTGAGGGGGAAAGGGAGTGGTTTGGCTTAAAATGAACCCATGAAGACCCCTACCCTAGTCACCAAGGCAAATTCCCAGAGGCTGCAGGCCTTTATGTCACCTGGATATTTGGAGGCTTCCCATCCCCTTGGGGTGGAGTGGGATGTGGTGGGGTGGGGCAGGGGGAGCTAGTTCTTTGAGCCTGATTTGACCTCTGTGCAAATATCAGAAGGGACCAGCATGATTTGCCCTGGACTCCTCACCCTCAGGAACTCACGGTGCTGGGATTAATCTACCATAAAGAATAGTACGATGCTCTCCCAGCAGTCACAGGTTGAAGAATTTTCTGTCCTCATCAACACAGGAGCAGAAGGAAATGCGTTAGCTCTCTGCTCATCTGAGTAAGCTCTGGATGTCACTGTTACACTGCACAGAACCAGGACAGAATTGATTTGACAGAGCAGTTACAAAGTGAAACCCCTCAACTAAGCTGGCAAGAGCCATAAGAAAAACATACAGTACCAGGCAGACAGTATACATTATTGTAAGAGCAATATATTATGCAGTGTTACGTACTTGAGTCTCCTGGTTTGACCAAGGGCATAAATATGTGGCATTGGACTGCACTTTCTAACTGGGTTCCATGTTCCGTTACATTGCATATGCTTATAGAAGAAATCAATCTTCAGAAATGGTGTTCCCAAATTAGTATTATTTTTTAGAAAAAGACAGTTTTTATACAAATTAGAGAAATCCATGGGCCTAATTTCATTATTTTTCTTCATTCTTCTAAAAGTTAATACATACATATATCAATAAAAATACAAATAAATATCAATAGCATATGGACGTATTGTAATAAAATATAGGTTTAATTTGATAGAACTATGTATTATTTTAAGACCAAAAATCTTACAATAATGAAAAGATGTGGCCAGGATGAAATATTAGTTACTTTAGCTCTTAGTCATCTCACTACGAGTATTACCATCATTTTAATGATGGATTGTACATTTGCATGTAATACTAGCATGGTTTCAACATAACGGAGTTTTACCATTATGCTAAATTGGACTAGTTTTAAAACCTGCTAGCTCTTAAAGATGGACAAGGAACTTCTTTTCCCCTTTAGAGTTGATTATTTGGGTCTTAAACTATAATTTTTCTTTTTACTGACTTTTAATTCAAGCTTTGGTGATCTTAATAAGTGTAATTTTACTTTACAGGATTCCCAAAATATTTGTTTTTACATTATTTTATAGTAGGATTTTTAGTTCCACTTGATAGGAATATCAGATGTTTTGAGTCATCTAACAAGATTACCACACCTATTCAATATAAATTTACCTCCCCAACTATATAATTACAAAACAGTATCTTACATCTATTTAATACTTTACAGTTTACAAAGCATGTATGTAGACATGATTTTATTTGCTTATTCCCTGGAAGAATTCCATTTTATGGGTAAAGATTAGAAAGGGTGGATCACAGTAAATGGTGACACTCAGCTCAAGACAGTTCTTTCAAATCGGTGTCCTTGCGTTTTTCATGCTACCCCAACCATGGTGCTACCAAGTAACCTGAAGAGAGCTGAAATGCCCCCAATCTGAACTGAAAAAAGACTCAAAGCCAAATGCCAGCTACACATCTGCTGAGTTTGTTAGTGACAGTGTGGGGAACACTAGCCAAACGTGAGCCTTTCTTCTCCAAAACATGAGCAATTACCTTGGGCTCAAATGTGGTTTACAAGTGAAATGTGCAATTAAATGTAATTCTATTAAAATGGCTGTAAGTTTATATCATGAGAGAGCATGGCCAAACTTCTTTGATGCAGTCTGAGTTCTTTAAATCTTGGATCTGCCAGCTTCATTTCATGCATTCCCATGGCTCATTTGAAATGTCCACAGAAATTTTATCGAGAACGCTTTCTTAGCTCAGGCCATTAAGTTGTAGGTGCCACCTCCCCCACTTATATTACAGGTAAGTTAATTCCACTGCTCTTTGTAATGCTGTTTCTTTTTCTATTTCCTAAGATGGAATAAAATTTGATGTACAATGAAACTTTGTAAACTGAAGCTTTTTAAAATAGTAGCCAGTAAGGTCTCCAAGAAGACAGAGAAGATATTTTTTGATGTGATATAAGCAGAGGTTTCTGAAGAACAGGAAGTATATCCAACGTGGGATATAACTTGGTTCATCTGAGATAAAAGTTTAGCCAATGCACAAGCACAGTATCTATTTTTCTGAGAAAAGGAATTTTCTTTTCAAACCCCCCTGCTAGTCTACATGTTGTTTACCATTTGGGAACCAGAGCCTGGCATATGGCAGCTGCTTTGTAAATATTTGTTGAGTAGAAGGAAAGTCATTGCATCTGTTCTTGAATCTATCTGAATTTTAACACTGAGTCCCCCTCCCAGTTTGACTTCAATGATGCAATGCCACCAGCAGTTTTATCATGAAATAAAATGTAAGACTTATAATAATGCCATTTTTTTCTGCACATCATTTTTTTCCATGCATGATGCTGAACTATTATTTCTTTAAATGATCTTCACAACCACATTTTTCTTCCCGATATTGTCAAAGTGAGTTGAACAGCACTTGTTCAGAATGCAGTTATTAGTTTCCAGGTTCCAAGCTCATTCTTTGGGTTGAAAACCTGCCAGCTGGTTTAGCTTAGAGACTTTTGTGTTGATAATATGCAAGAGATTACCATGTTCTCTGTAAGTAATTCCAGTTTAAATGATAAGTTAAATAATATAATTGGTCTTTTTATTTCATTTTTCTCAAAAATTTATAGTTTGGGAGCTCCTCTGACCTCTTAAAGCATCTCCATAATTCTGTTATAATTGTATTTTTCTGGAAATAACTCACCCCTGGTCTAGTGTTTAGTATACAGCAAGTACCCATTACATTTTTTGAAAAAAAATGAATAAAATGCATAGCAGGTATAAACTGAGAAGACACTGATGAGACGTGTGCAAAACACATCTTTCTTTTAACCTGTCATTGATTTCATCCTGCTCTCACACCTTCTTCCCAGTGATGGCAGAAAACACTTGATCTGACCACATACAAGTAATATCTCCCTGTTTAAACAGTCATTTAAAATGAACCCATTAGTCTTTCTGTATTTCTCTCCTTGCTCCAGTGGGTGGGGGCAGGTTTACAAGGCCTCATGGCAGAGCAGGAGAGGTGACTTGGCCTCTCTCTGTCCTGTGAGTCCTCCCTGGATTGACTGCAGTGTTGCTTGGCCACTTGGTCTCTGGGCATCTGGGATGGTGGCCTCCAGTGTCCCACAGTTGCCTCTGACTTGAGGTCTCTGCGCTCTTCCCTAGTGTTGCATCCTGACCCCAGACATTTGCCACCCGTCAGACTATTTGGTATTTCTAAACGAATAAATGAGCCTCTCAGGGTTAAACCATCACCTCTTCCCACTCCTTCCAAAATTGTCTTTTCTATCTTGTTCCTGTTCCATCATAAATCACCTAGACGGGGGGGAGAGGAAGGTGATGGTGGGGAGTGTGAGTGTGAGCAGGGAAAAGGAGTGTCACTGTCATAGTGGGAAGGTCACCGTAATTCTACTAAAGTGATTCGTAATCTAGTAGAATATTAAGTGTTATTTTGTTGTTATTTATTCCTTCTATTACAAAGACAATATGACCACATCATAAACAAGCTGGAATACAAAAAAGAAAAAGACAATGACTCCACTCTTCTAATCCAATTTCTGTTGGCATGTTGGCGTGTATTTCTTCTGTTATGGGCCCTATTAGTAATAATTTAAGTTGCAAAACACAATTTTAAAATATTTAGTATTTTTTCTACTGGAGAAGAATACTTGAAAGCAAATGCACTTGATTATCCCATCAACTAATATTTACTGAGTCCCAAATATATGTGAATCACATGTTAGGTACCGTGGAGACATGAAAGATAAATCAGACACACTTCCTACCCTCCAGAAACTTACAACCTAGATGGAGAAGTAAGACTTGCACATAAATATGTAAAAGATAGCAAGGAAGAAAAGCCATAATAGAGGTAGAGACAAACTGTTCTGAGGAATCCGTTTCTGTAATATCACTTTAAAACACGTGGGAATCACATGCCAATGTTAAGCCATTAATGATGCAAGTACTAAGTACTAATCCAAAGCATTTTAAATGGCATCTTACAACAGTCATTAATAGTAATATTTCCTACTAGATCTTTAGTATCCAACATCAGTTTTCTAGGTATGCAGAGTTTCATTAATTCATTAAGCAGTCATATGAAGTCATCTGGAGGACTTCCTGACTCACGGTGGAATGCTCTGTTGCTTCTAGTTGCCATTTTCTGAGCTTATATTCATTACACTTCTCTTCAGATAACTGTAGTTGATGTAAAAAATATTAAGAATTCCCTAAATTGTGGTATGCAGTTAAACTTCATTAAGAATAGTTTTGTTTATGGCATATAAACCAAAATGGTGTTCTGTTGGAAAATGTGCTAACCAAGGTTCTTTTCTTCCTATACTCAAAAGAGATTCAATGACTGTAAAATCTGTATCTTTTCAAATCATGACCTTTTCTCCTACAAAAGTGTGTGAGGGTCGCCATAGTTTCCAAACCAAACATCACTGTTATCATTGAATGTGGTTCTAAATTGTACCAAATATATGTGAGCTTGGACTAAAGAAATGTTTCCTCTTGTTTACCCTTTTTTATGCTAAATGATAAAGCTGCCGGTATGTGGCTCATAAATATTTTATCAGGTTTTATATGTGCACTAAGTTAGTGAGGTGTCTTCTTTTCATGAATCTATTACAATTTAAGTAGTCGTAATAATAAAAATTTGCATTTAAATAATTCTTTTCTCCTGGGAACTCTGAGTGCTTTGGCACATCAATTAATGCCGGATGGCGGCATCATTATTCCCAACTTTATTTTATTATTCCATCTTTACAATGCGTTGCTTTGGGTTTTTGTTTCTAGCCAATGTCAATTACTGGGCTGGCTATTATCAGGCCTCCAAAAGCAGCCTTTTATTGAGGATTAATTACATAACAGAATGAGACTGCTCAGTAGAAACTCTATGATTGAAAGTTCTGCTCTCACCAGATATAGATTAAAAGTCATTCCCTGGCTTCACTTTCAATCATAATCTCATCTATACATCCAATTTATATGCTATTAAGAATTGCCAAACGTTTTTTCTCTATCATTAACAACTTTTCCTTTCTAATCACCTTTCTAACCCTTTCTCATCAATTATTCACATAAAGGAATTATTTATAGACTGAAAAAACTAGTACCTTTAAAAGTGTCATCCTCAGGGTCATGGCATTTCTCTTCTCAAAGTGGAGGCGCTAAACGTGGGATTCGCAGACAGGCTTCAAGGGTCTGTGAATTTCTAGAAATTCCCAAAAGGGAAAGAAAAAACACAAAAGAGGTCTTTACAGTGGTTTGTGCCAGACTTTTGACCCTGCTCTTCTGGGTGTATCTGCCTGCGCCTGGGATCCAGTTTTGTTTTGAGGATCCAACATGGGCCTGGCTTTGAGGCTCCTTTCGGAATTGGGTGTGGATCCAGGCCAAATGCTCTGCTCCTGTTTTCACACTTTTTAAAAAAAATAAAATCATGATTCTGTTCTACTTAGTTATAATAAATTCCTTCTCTTGGAAATTGCTTTCTGAAAGATTAGGAAATCCTATTACATGCTTCATCTGGCCTTTGTTTGCTATTTTAATATTTAAAATAAATAATTCACAAATGCAACTCTTCTGTTTCAGAAGGAAAGTTATGTGAGGAAGAATAGGCAGAGGGAATATCAGGCTTCCAGTTTCTGACATTATAGTCACCGTGTGCGCATTTCTGCCAACCCCAAGGTGGGGAATTGCTGTAACTTGGTTCTGTCAAGTGCCCCGTTTCTAGAATCTATACTATTGCATATTTTATGAATTTGCTTTTGAAGCTAATATCTCACTTCTGGCTACTCCAGGGAAATCCCAAATCACTGGACATTTTAACATGAGCTAGATTCTTGCAATTTGTAATTTTTTTTTGAAATCTCAGTGTCATGTATGCTATATTCCAGCTATTTAAAACCAGCAAATACATAGCAGATGAAACTGTATCTTTGTTCCATGTGTTCATAGGATACTTCAACTGTTTCATCAGACTAGGGAACTGTGATGATGGATGGAAGTTCTAATAATTTCTATTGATTGTGGACCATGTGCAGAGCACTATATGGGGGTGGAGGGTAGAAGACATGTACAATTAAGCTACCAAAAGCTGGACACCAGGCATTTTTAAAAAAAATATAGTTTCTAAAGGTCAAAATTACCTTGTCAGCTAAGAATTATTTTTGCAGTTTAACAGACAAGTAATTGAGGCTCAGAAAAGTTTAATAAATGATTTGCATTTATCCAGTTTATTAAATATAAAACCATAGTTCAAATCTAGCTAATCCCAAAGCCCCCACTTTTTCAACTGCCTTTATAATTCACTATGCTCTTAAAGTACTTCAAGTATCTTTTTTGAGTTTTAGCTGGGTTTTGTTTCTTTGAAGGGTTGAATCCTTTGGGTAAAAGCTCATTGTTCAACGAATCAAATGAAAGCCAACTTTTAGAGATCTCCTCCCTGAATTTAGTATTAGAAATATTTAAACATTGTTTTAACCATTTTTTAGAGTATAGGCCTTTGGGATGCAAAAAAGATGAAAGATTATACCCCTCTGCTTTGCTGTTTGTTTTTACTTGGTCAAGATATAAAACACCTGTTCAGCACATAACCTGTTTGATTATTTTGAACAAAATAACCAAGTGAGTCAGTCTAAAAAGAAAAAAAAAACACACCTATTAGAATGGCTGACATTCAAAAAACTGAGTATACCAAATGCTAGCAAGAATGTGGAACAACAAGAACTCTCATTCATTGCTGGTGGGACTGGAAAATGGTACAGCCACTTTGGAAGACAGTTTGGCAGTTTCTTACAAAGCTAACACAGTCTTGACCATACAATCTAATGATCGTACTCCTTGGTATTTACCCAAAAGAGCTGAAAACATGTCCACACAAAAACCTGCCCACAGATGTTTATAGCAGCTTTATTCATAACTGCCCCAAACTGGAAGAAAGCGAGATGTTTGAAAAATGGTGACTGGATAAGCAAACAGTGGTACATTCATACTATGAAATATCCAGTGATTTTAAAAATGAGTTATCAAGACGACAAAAAGACATGGAGGAAACTTAAATGCAAACTTAGTGAAAGAAGCCAGTTTGAAAGGTCAATATTCTGTTCGATGACAACTGTATGACATTCTGGAAAAGGCAAAACTATGGAGACAGTAAAAAAGAAATAATAATAATCAGTGGTTGCCAGAGGTTAGGGAGGAGACGGATGAGTAAGTGGAGAGGGGGGATTTTGAGGGCAGTGAAACTATTCAGTACACACTGTGATGGTGAGCACATGGCATTACATAAACAAAAACAAAACAAACAAACAAACCCTGTTTCCTTCGCTTACAATACTTCAGACACCAAATGTGTGTGGGGTTTTCTGACACCAACCAGTTCTCCAACCCTCTCGACACCAAATGGGTGTCTGACAATTCAGTTCTGATACAAACTACCCAGAGTTGATGTAGACCCCACACAGGTTAAGGCCTCCGTTCCACAAGACTGCCCCGACTTTGGACACCAATCATTAGTAATGGGCCCCCAGGTTCACATTTCTGCCCAACTTGGCTGTAACTCAAGGTTCCCACCACTTTGTCCTCCAGTTTGATAATTTGCTGTAACAACTCAGAGAACTGAGGGAAACAAGTTTAGCAGTATATTATAAAATATAGAAGAAAGGATACATATGAACAGCCAGATAAAGAGATACATAGAGCAAAGTCCAGAAGGTTCTTGAGTGCAGGAACTTCTGTCCCTGTGGAGTTGGGGTGTGCACCCTCCCACACATGGGTGTGTTCACTAACTCTGAAGGTCTTCAAATCCCTTAGAGATTTTTTTGGAGGCTTCACCACATTGCCATGATCAATTATTAACTCAATCCCCAGCCCCTCTTCCCTCCCCAGAGAATGGAGGGCGAGGATGCAAGTTCCAAGCGTCTAGTCATGACTTGGTCTTTCTGGAGACCAGGACCCATCTTGAAGCTCTCCGGAGCCCACCTAGAGTTATCCTGTTAGAACAAGACACTCCTATCCCCCAGGAATTCCCAAGGGACTTAGGAAGCTCTGTGTAAGAGTCTCCCATAGCCCACAACTCAGGAGATTATGAAGGTTTTAGAAGCCCTATGCCAGGAATTGGGGCTCAAAGACTAAATATTAGAACAAAAGATGCTCCTAGCACCCCTGTCACTCAGGAAGTTATAAAAGTTTTAGGAACTCTAGGCCAGGAACTGGGAAAAGAGACCAAATTATATTTCTTACTACGTCACAGGTGGGTACATGACAAATATGCTTGGCAAAACTGGGACCATCCAACACAAAGATGAACCGTAATGTAAATTTTTGTTAGTAATAATGTAACAACATGGGTTCTTCAATTGTGACAAATGTCTCACACTGATGCAAGATGTTAATAACAGGGGAACTGTGAGCAGGCGAGAAAGGGGCTATATAGGAGCTTTCTATACTAACTGCTCGATTGTCTATGAACCTAAAACTGCTCCAACAAAACCAACTCCGTTATTTTCTTTTAAAGGAAAAGAAATGTAAAAACAGTCAATAAGGTTGGTTGTCAAACAGGTCAACGAAAAAGTTAATGTAACATTGAACGAGAGGTATTTAGGTACATAAAGAATCTAATCAAATCACTGCTTACTAATTGATCAGAACTGTCTGCTGAGACATCCCAGAAGCAGCTATGGCCTCTGTGCAATTAGGAGTAACATTTGGAAGAAAGTCTATACTGAAGCAAGCCATGGGCAGAGAGAGATAAGGAAGAGAACATAATGCTAAAACTCTTTTCTTTTTCTTTTTAGTGCATGCTAAGCATGCACTCTACCACTTGAGCTATATCCTCCCCTCCACATACTCTTAAAGCCAGTGACTCCCTCGGGTCTTGTTTTATTTCCACAAAATTTATTCTCTCTGAACTTTGAAATCTCATCAAAGTTTTGTCCAAATGATAAAAAGCAGACAAGGATGCCCAGAAAGAAATAAAGAAAGAAATCACTGTTTATGTCAATCTCAGCAGTAAAAGCTAGAGCTTTTGCAGAGGAGACAGGAGGCCCTGTATTTTGTTATTTATGCCTCATATTCTTTCCATTCTACAGTTAGGTGCAAGTTACCTCCTTGCATCATACTTGTTCCGAACAGCTTTCAGAATCTTTCAATCAGATCTTTCCATGACCAGCAGAAGGAAACCAAGTTACCTAGAGCACTCCCAAACTCAACGTTTTGTGTCTAGAATTCTTATTTTGAATTTTAAGAGCTGCTATTCATATATCCATGATAAAAATTTAACTATAAAATTATGTTTTTACTCCTTAGATGGGGTATAGAGTCTCCTTTTTCTGTAGCACACAGACTCCGAGAAAACAGACTCTATATGAGGCCAAGACTCAAGTCCTATGATATTGAATCCAGTATTCTTTTCATAAAAGTACACAATCTTTATATGATCTGAACGCCTTATGGACATCTTAACCTGTTAGGCAAGGAGTGAGTGTATCCTGTAACAGCTGACTCCATAACCACAGTGCTGGAGTCTGGTATACGGTCTGCAAAAGCCAGAACCTGGGCTCTGCTATGTTAGTAAGTATGTGTTCAGATTATTATAAAAGTAACATATAAGCATTGCAGAAAATTTAACAGAAGCAGCAGGAGGAAAAGCAGGAGAAGTTGGAAGAAGGAGGAGGGGGCAGAAGGAAGGGAAAAAAGAAAAGTCATTTACAACCTCATCATCAAAGGTAAGAAATGTAAGCATTTCAGTGCTTATCATCATGGATGATTTGTAATATTCTCCATACTCTTGTAACATGCCTTTTTCTATTTAACAGCTTTTTATGTGAGGCAGTGTGGCTAGTGATAGAAGCTGTGTAGGTAGCAGTAAGCTACCTCTGACACCCTGAGCAGGCCACTCCACCTCACTGTTATCTCAGTGTCTTGTCTACAAAATGGAGATAATAATAGTAACTACTTCTTCATAGAGTCTGTCATGAGGATTCACTGGCTTAATATATCTAAACCACTTAGAACACTGCCTGGCACAAAGTCCACTCTATATCAAGGGGCAGTAAATTTTTTCAGCAAAGAACCAGACAGCACATAGTTTAGGCTTTGCAGGGTCACGTAGTTTCTGCCACAACTCCTCAATGCTTTCTCTGTAGCACAAAAGCAGCCATAAAATGAATGAGTGTGGCTGGGTTCCAAAGAAACTTTATGGATGCTGAATTTGAATTTCATATAATTTTCACATGTCATGAAATATTTTTTTCTTTTGATGATTTCAACCATCAAAAAATGTGAAAACCATTTCAGCTCATGAGCTGTACAAAAAGGGACAGTGGGGGCTGGGCCTTTGGGCCAGAGTTTGCTGTCCTTTGTTCTATATAATTAGTAGACATTATTATGTTCTGAACATCTTTCTATAAATTATTTTTAATGGCTGCTTAGAACAAGATTGTTTGGATGTCCTACAATTTACTTAGTCCCCTATGGTTAAAATTCAGGTTATTTCCAGTGTTCATTATTTTCAGCCACTCTCCAATGAATATCCATGCAAAATCTTTGTGCATATTTCTTATTAAACCTACTTCTTAAAATGTATGTAGTGGTAGCTACCAAAATGTACAGTAGAACATCTAAAAAGAAACAGCCTCTGAAGAAGTAGCGTTGAAAATGAATCTTGTAAAGTTATAGCAAATTTCAAACATGTTAGAGAAGGAGCTCTATAAATACACATGCATATACATATAACTATGTACCACATACCATTCTAAGCCTTTTATGTGTATTTTAAATCATTTAGTCCTCAAAACAATCCTTTGAGGAACGGATGCAATCATCATCAACCCCAAGGTACAAACGAGGAAACTGAGGCACAGAAAAGCTAAGTAACTTCCCCAGAGTCACACAGCTAGCTGGTAGGAGAGGCAGGATTCAAACCTGGTCTGTGCAGCACTATGGACCATGTTCTTGAAGACCATGTTGCATTACTTGTCCACCAGAGAGACCTGGCAAGTGTGCTCTCCCAGGCACTCACTTTACAATGTACCTGTGGTCTTAGGTCATGTTTGGCACACATGAACGACCTCATACTCTAATAATCGGCACAAATTCTACCTCGCAATGGGACACTTCAGGTGGAAACTGTTAATGTTCATCTAACCTTCCTCTTTTGTCCTCCAACTCCTCCCCCACACCGACTCTTCCTTAATTTGCCCTGCATTTCTTACCCAAAAGAGTCGTCCTCTATACAGCAATAATTGATCGCAGCGTACTTTCGTATCTTGTTTTTCAATTTATGGTCCCAAGTCTGCCAAATTCACGTGGCAAATTCAGGTGGCGCTCCGCCTACAGTTCAGGGCCCGGCACCGTGACAGGAAAGCAAATTTCGGATAAGTACCTTCCTTCTTTCGAAACAAAATAGTGCTTGTGTCGAAGGTCTCTCCGCGTGGCTCCCGCGTGGCCCCCGCAGCAGCAGGGCTGGCTTGCTCCGGCCCTTCGCCGGGTCCCCGAGGGCGCTGCCTGTCGTCCGTGTGGACCAAACCGCCAGCCTCCGCCGCCAGGTTCAGACGCCGAGTTGCGCGCTCTCCCCGCCTTTCCCGCTCGTGCTGAGAGGCGGGCAACTGTCCCACAAAGGAGTTACGCGAGTGGGTCGTTGGACTTTGTGGGGAAACGGAGATTCTGGTTCTCTTTTCTTACCCTGCTTCCTCTCCCTGCTGGGACCCTACCGTTCAAGTTATCCCAAAGGGCACGCAGGCCCCAAGACGTTGCCCGCCTCCCACTCCTGCCCAAACAAGGGCAGAACCGCTAAGTAGAGAGGAAACGAGGAAAGAAAGCAGCGGGTGTTTCAAACGCATCACCTTTGTGCAGACGCCGCCGCAGAGTTGGAGGAACCGGGCGGGGAGTCCGGGCGGAGGCTCCGGACTCCGCCCGCCGGGGGGCGCCGGGGCGCCGGGCGCGTGCGCGGTGCGGCCCCAGCCCCGGCCGCCGCCGCCACGATGCCTATTTTAGTCAAAGCCGCCGGGGGCGCGGAGACCCGGCATCTGCCGAGCAGCCTCCGGACCCGCCGATCCGCCGAGGCTTTCGTGTCCGGCGCCCGTCGAGCCGCCGCGTCCGTGTCCGCCGCGCCCCGCCGCTGCCGCCCCAAACTTTGGCCAGTGCCACCCAGGCTCCGCGCCAGGGACCAGCCAGGTAAGGAGCGGGAGGCGCAGTTGTCCCCAGCTCCCCCGAAGCTCCCGACTGTTTTGCAGCCTCGCGCTCCCGGGGCTAAATTGGGAAGCGAAAGTTGGATTCCTGCTCCTCTGGGAGCAACTTTGCCCGCCCCGGCGGCGGCTGCCTCTTCTCCGCGCCCTGGCCGCGGGAACCCTGTTCTCTCCTTGCGGGCCAAGCATTGTCCTTGGAAGCCGCCCTTCACCCAGGGTCTGGGCGTCGCGGTCACCGACCCTCAGATGTCGGCTGCCGCCACTCGGGTCAGGCAGCGCCAGCGTCCTCGGACGCTCGGGCCCCCGCGGGTACAGGTTCCCGCGCTCTGCCGCCCGCAAGCCCTTGGTGAGCTCGGCCTCTCCCTCCCCGCGAGGCTCCCAAGGCTCCCAGGGCTCCCAGCCCGCGAACACATTACGGCACCTCCTCGCCCTCTGTAGGGCCGCCGGGTCCCACGCGGAGTCAGCGCTCAGCCGGGAGCACAGGGTCGCCCGCCCAGGCCTGGCGCTGGGAATGCGAGGTGGGTCGGTGTGCCCACTGCACACCCCTCGTGGCCCGAGAGCTTCGGGTCAAGGAGAACAGTTGACACTGACCCTCTGTCTTTAGGAGCGAGGTGAGCAGGGCGGCTGGGGAGCGCAGGTGGCTGGGGAACCCGTGATCTCCCCCACGCCCTCGTTACTGAGGCTTTGGGAAGCGGGTTTTTGACCAGACAATTCTCAGAAAGTGCTCGCTGGCTTTGAAGCAAGAGTAAGTGCCAAAAGACTGAGCAGCGTCATGCCCTTTGCCATTCCGAAGATATCGCGAAGGTTCAGTAAGAATTACAGAATGATTTGAGCAAGTCTTCTAGCAAGACTTTTGCTCACGACTGTTATCTTTTTCATTTTTGTAATTTGATGAAGGGCTAAGGTTAGTTTCACGATTTAGCTATTTCGCCCCGCACATGCCTATTTGAAAACCAACAGAAAAACAGGACTTCACTAGCACAGGGAATTTAAGAAATTAGACTCGGAGGAACTAATAGAAAAAAAAATTCTCTTGCTTTAGTCAAAATTAACCTAAACTTTACGAATTTACCAGCCTAACCTTCCTCATTAGACTCATTCATTCTCTGTATAAGGAGAGTTCAGTGTTTGCCACATAAATCCATTAAGTAGTGGTCAAAGAAAGCTGAAAACGGGAAGATCCGATCAGTATTGACAGTAGGTCACTGGCGTTTCAAAATAGACATATAGATAAGTATACCTCGATATATAATAGACATATAGATAAACATACAAGTAAAATGAATTACATGTAATATATAATGTTAATTACTATGCACAAGAAAATTAAATATGTGGACCCTTTTTAAATAAAGTGTGGTGCATCACAGTATGTTTTAGGATTATCTTACCTTTTAAAAATTCATATTATAGGTTTCCCTGGTTCTTGGATTAGATCACAGTTTTCCTATCATTTCTCTTGATCAGAAATTGATACTTTTAGTGCCACTTGGAGAACTTTTAAAAGCCTGAAATTGAATTATAGCAGATCAGTTGTCAGTACAGGTGTAATCAGGTGTATGTGAAGGGGAATATGTATTAGTTAACTGATTATATAAATATATGTTGGAGCCACAGGCTGTTAAAACTTGAGCGAGTTTTCTAGCCCAGGTTGGCTAGAAGCCAACCCAAGACACAGAAGTGACTTTGCCTGGCGTCTATGACTCCCTGGGGCTTGTGCCATAGAACTGGACTTTCTCAACCTCAGGAAGGCTCGGCACCCTCCTGTCTTTACTACTGTCTTTGGGGAGACTGAAAAGTAATTTCTAAAAGTGTTTTCATCATTTTTGTGTACTTTCCATATGGCTTTCACGTCTGCCTCTGGCATTCTCTTACAGAGGCTAGGTCTTGGGTAGACCTAGATGAGTATGACAGTGTCCCTACCTCATAGAGAGCGTAGGGCAATGGGAGTGAAAGCATGTTCTAAGGTGGGGTAGAAATGGTAGTTATTATTAGCTTCCATAATGCTAATGCATAAGCTGATGTTGACATAGTGAGTGATAGAGGACACTTATCATTCTCCCTCCTGAAGAAATTATGAGATTAATCCTGGTTTGGTCCTTGAAAACAAACTTTGTATAACTTGAGTTATTAAAATAATGATGCCTCCCCATCCCAATAAACTTACATGTTTATTGATTCAAACATTTGGGAAGTAGAGAATTAAGAGGTGCAAACTATTATGTATAAAATAAATAAGCTACAAGGATATATTGGATAACACAGGGAATATAGACAGTATTTTATAATAAATATAAATGGAGTATAACCTTTAAAAATTGTGACTCATTGTGTATACATGTAACTTACGTAGAATACATCAACTATAGTTCAGTTTTTAAAAATTTGCAAAGTAGTTGGGTTTTTATGATTTCTCTCCTTTTTGCAGCAAAACAGTACCTAACTAAGCTATTTCTCATATGTATGAACTACTTTAGAATTATGGGAAGAAATCTTTAATTGATTTGATTTTTTTCACTCACAGCTTATAAATTTGGGTGTGTATGTATTCTTGTCATCTTAAGAGATGTGGAATTCTTTCATATTCGTCTGTTAACATCCTTTCAAAATGCCCAACCTGATACCAATTTATTCTGCCACCTAAAACCTTTACTTTAGTGTGATGGAAAAAAATGGAAAAGTATGGCTTATTGTGTGACCTTATTTGGAAAGAAATGTATATTTCTAAATTAAATTTAAAGGTATTTTGAGTCCCCATTTGGAATTCTTTCCCTGAAACAGAAAATTAACATATTCTGTAAATCTCCATTTTTTTTTAAAATCAGGGGCCAATTTGTGTAATTAATCATAGAAAGAGTTAATAAGTACCAGAGACAGATGATAGGCCGTAGTCAGGAAATAGTGCCCCTGCGTGTTAAGGTTATGTAAATATGTGTAAAGTGTATATTCTTTGAAATGTATTTGCTACAGATTCTAATATTAAACAGAAATGTATACTCGTGGCTCCTCTTCCATATAAGTACTTTGCAATTTGTGAGATGCCACCAACTAGAATTTTTATGGGAAACAAAATAAATCTTTAGACAGTAAAAGGAATAAATGTTAAATCTCTGTATATATAAATGATTACAGTACTGTATTTATTATGTGCATATATGATAATGTAGGATTACATATGTATGATATAATAATTTAACAACAGTATAAAGTTAGAGCCTTTGAGGGGGTGCTTAGCACGCACCAGTTCCTGGGTTCAATCCCCAGTACCTCCAAAAAAAAATTAGAGACTTCCCAATATTCTAAGCCTTTAAATAGTAAATAATAGGGTGCTAAATGTTTTAAAGTATTAAAAAATCAGTTTTCCTTATTATTTTTCCTGTGTTTGGAATCAGTGTCACTAGTAGGAATATGTTGGAAAGCTATACTAAGTAACTTTGTAATTGCTGTGGTTTATGAACAGTGGTGATTGCCTTTTAGAATGGCTAATTGCCTCATTCCTCTCTCCCCCACCGAGTATGTTTAGATACAAACATATAGATATATAGAGATGCATACATATACATCCGGGAATAGGTGTACACTACCTATGCTAAGTATTTTATGGATTTAATTTCATCATAAAGTCAAATGAAGTATGATCATCATTTAACAGATAAGGAAATGGCTACATTACTAGGTGACAGAGCCAGGATTTATACCTGGGTCTGTCCAATTCATCAGCACCAGAGAAGTCTATTCACCAACATTTGATTCACAGAAATAATTTTAGTCTAATACCTATAGGGGTAATAAAATACAGCTGTCATTTTTGTGATTGTCCTTTTGTTTATTTGTTTTTACAGGGGTTTTCAAGATGAATTATACCGAGCCCAGTCCATTGGCAGAATCACCTGCAATAGGTTTTACACCTGAGTTAGAAAGTATCATACCTGTGCCTTCCAATGGGACTTCTTGTGAAAACTGGAGAGAGATACATCATCTAGTTTTTCATATAGCAAATATTTTTTTTGCAGTTGGGTTGGTTATTCCAACTACTCTTCACCTTCATATGATACTTCTTAGGGGGATGTTAACTATAGGTAAGAAACCTATGTGGAATTGTACGTAACTTTTCTGTAACTGGCATCAGATGGGCTTTGTCCTGGGGGCTTCAGAGTATTCCTTGTCCAGTCGATAGGATACCAAAAATAAAAAAGTCTTCATTAGCAAACCATCAGTATATGAAACAACTTAGAACAAGCGCTTTCACCCTTAGGAGCTTTAGATAAATTACGTCTGTGTTCATATGTTGTTCAGATTTTCCAGATATCAGAAAATCCATTCGCATGTAAGAGTGTGAACTTTGAGCTGAATTGTGCTAGTCTAGCCCTGGTTTTAGTGCTTGCTAACTATGTGACTGCGGCAGTAAACTTCCTATACTTCAGTTTCCCCATGTGTCCAATAAGAGTAAAAATAATACCACCTCCTGACATTGTGAGAATTAAATGAGTGTGTGAGTGTGTGAGTGTGTGTGTGTGTGTGTGTGTGTGAGTGTGTGTGTGTGTGTGTGTGTGTGTGTGTGTGTGTGTGAGATATTTGACTTATAATAGCGCCTGGCACACAGTAATTACTTTGTAGTTTTAAAGTATCATTATTTGAATAGGAGTTTACTTGCTGTGGCCAGTACAGCAACACTGGAAACAAAAACAATTACCCAGACACAATAGTTCAAGTACAGTTTGGGCGGGGGAGGGCCCCGTTAACCCTGATGAAGCAAGGTAAATTAGTTCACATTAAAATACAAAAACAATTGAATTTGCTTTTTTATCTAGTGATTCTTGATAAATTCTTGTCTATGTGTGATAATTCATTTATTCAGGTGCATTTTTGAGCACCAGTAATATGTCAGATAGAGATTGAAGAACGCAGCCTCCATCCTTGAGAAATAGACTCTTGGGGGCTGGAGAGAGATAGATGGGTGGTCGCATTTGACATATCAGATGCTGTGATGCATGTGTGCGCCCAGTGCCAGGGAGAAATCGACAGGGTGACGGCCTCAGCAGAAGGCAGACCAGGGTCCCTCTGAGGAGAGGACAGTTAAGCTGGCTTTTGGAAGACGAGCAAGATTTCTCTGAGTGTAAGTGTATGTGGTATCCAAAGGAGAGGGAGATTCAACATGTTGAGGGAGAATGAAGAATAGCTCATTGTGCCTGGAATATATGAAAAAGGACAAGAAATGGTCAATGAAGATGCTGAAAGGGTAGCTAGAAGGTAGCTTGTAGGACTTCTGTGGCTGTCACCTCTGAGTAAGGTAGCGATTGCAGCAGGAGGATGAAAAAATAAAACCACATTCTCTTAGAAAAAAAAAGGGCTAATTATGAATTTTAGGACTGGGTTTCAGAGGTAGAACAGATGGGAAATCATCTAGTCCAACACATTATAAATGAAGAAACTGAGGCCTGGAGAAATTAGATGACTCGTGCAAAATTAAGACCAGGAAAAAGTGGCCAAACCAGAATTATAATTCAGGTCCTCCAGCTTCCTGGCCAGTCCTTCCTCTGTGTTATCCTGCCTCCTTAAAGTAATGGTATTTTAAATGTCTTCAATATTTTCTATGTAATATGATCTAAAGAACATTTAAAACTTTCATTTTGGGCTATTATTCAGGTGCCCCCAAACATTCTGATGAAAGGAAAAAATTGCAAATGCATAACTTTTTAAAATGGGAGGTTAGTTTTTATGTGCATATGTGTCATTGATACATTTGTATTGATAATTGATATTGATAAATGTCATCAAAGTTATAAAGTTCATTCCCTTGGCTACCTGCCAGGTAATCCACTCTAAGCAAACAGTCACAAAAACAGATACATTTTTACATATAAAGCTGTTTTTGCTACTTATCAAAAATTATAGCCAAAATATTTCATCTGTCCACCATTAGGGAGATAGTAAAATGAATTATGCTTTAATCAATTACAATCACTAAAAACTGTAGAGTTTTAGTGAAATGGGAAATCATTGCAATAAGTTGAAGAGTGGGTTTTAAATTGTGTATCCATTAGGTTTGCCACCAGGTAAGAATGCATAAAGACTGAGGAAGTGTTAAATATCAATAATGGTTTCCTTCAAGTCATAGAATTATGGGGCTTTTTCCCCTCTAAAAACATTTTTATACTTTACAAGTTTTTTGCAGCAAAGCATGATTTTGTTTTATTTGTTTGTTTTGGTAACCAGACAAAAACTACAATGTAACTTAATGTGATGGTTGGCTTAGGTGTTTCTAAGATGTGTTTGGCTTATTTTTTACACAGAAGAAAACAAATTTATTAAGCTATGTGCTGCAGCCACTCTAGACATCTAACATGTGCACTTCATTATTCAACAGGATGTACCCTTTATATCGTCTGGGCCACTCTCTACCGATGTGCCTTGGATATCATGATCTGGAACTCTGTGTTCCTGGGGATCAACATTTTGCATCTTTCGTATCTTTTGTACAAGAAAAGACCGGTAATTACTAACAGTTAATCAATAAGGAAGAAATGTTTAAACTAACAAGCTTCTAAGTTACTTTGTTCAGACTTGAGAATGAGCATGGAACATCTTTGGTCCCTTTCATACAATTTTGCTGAAGATTAGGCTTTCTGGGGATATATCCCTGAAAGTGAAAGATTTGAATACCATGATATTTGTTCTACAAACAGCTTTTTAAATGTTATTAATCATTAGGGCAATTTAGACATAAGAAAACATGGCAGTATTCTCTCTTTTTAGTCATTTAACTTTATTATTTCTTTTGTCTATTGATATTCAAATGTCACTGGGAAAATCTTTGCCCAGTTATAAAAGTAAATACTCATAGGCAACTTCCATGAACATGGTAATAATTTACAAATAGCTCACAGTATTTTTGAGGGAGGGTAGGTGATTAGGTTTGTTTATTTATTTATTTATGTGTTTTAGTGGAGGCACTGGGGATTGAACCCAATACTTTATGCATGCTAAGCCTGCACTATACCACTGAGCTCTACCCTCCTCAGCTCACAGCAGTTTTTTCATGTTATTTTTTTAAATGTAATGGCTATTTTTTTCTTATGCCCAAAATACTTATTTAAGGAAATCACCATTTTTGGTGAGTCATTATCAAAACACGAGTGTTTAAATTTTCTTTTCTGCTCCAGTTTATCTTGCTGTGTTTCCTTGGTCATACCAAGAACAAACAGGTATAAATAGAAGAGGGAAATAGAATGGCTCCTGGAAATCACACCATACATGTTTACTGACTTCTCAAGCACACACAAATATTTGGTAAAGTAAAAGATCTAATGCTTGCTCTAATCTTATCTTCAAGGCCAGTCATGCACATCGAAAACTATTACAAAACAGGCAACTTACAAGAAATTACAATTTCAGTATAGAGATGATATATGTAATAGGCATTCCACTAGTTTGTAACCTCCTCAAACATTGTAACCCAGTCTGTTCTGCTTACTGTGTTAGTCAGTTTTCACTAGGTTATGCTGTGTAATAAACAATCTGAAAATCTCAGTGTCATGTAACAGCAACAGGTTTTTTTTCCCTCACTCACCTAGTAGATGGACTATGGCAGCTGTGTGGCAGCTGTGATTCTATTCCATGTGTCTTCTGCATTTCAGTCTCTGCTGAAGCAGCAGGATCTATTTGGACATGCATTCTCATGGCAGAGACTAAAATACAAGAGAACAAAAGAGAAACATCCAATTGCTCTTAAAACTCCTGCTCAGAAGGGGCATGTCAATTCTGTTCCCATTTCATTGGCCAAAGCAAATGACGTGAACAACCAAGCCTGATAATGTGGGAGTAGGATGGAGCAAGGGGACTTACGATCCTCTTACAGAGGGTGGGAGCAGCAAATAGCCGGGAATAACATCATCTACCACACCTACTGTTGTATTCCCTGTTCCCATCAGCCGTGATTGGCACTTAATAGCTGCTCAGAAAAACATTTGATGAATGGATGCTTTCAAAGAGAAGAATCAAGACGGCTTCATGAAGGAATTGGGACTTGAGCAAAGACTTGTAGGATGAGCAGACTATGAATATGAGTCAACAAATTTTTAAGTTCATCTGCTCATTGCCGTTTGGCTACTATGCACGCTGGAAGTGGGACATATTTGTGACTAAGTTATTTTAAACACACATTACTAGAGCTCTGGAGTGGAAAAGGTAGATGATGATGATAATAATAATAATGATTTCAGCTTCTGAATATCAGAGCTTACTAGAACCTCAATTTCTGAACATAAGGTTCAGAAGTTGCTGATGTGATGTTAGCACCAAGTAAATCGCTTAGTGTCTGTTCTTTTGTTTCTTCTTGGACTATAAACTTACTTTTTTGAAAAACGTAAGTACTATTTCTTCATTAAAGGAGATAGCAGGACAAGTGAGAGCACTGGAAAGGCTGCAGTGACATCCGAGCAGCCCCCTAGGCTTCTGGGTCTGTAAGCTTCACGATGTGGCTGCTATAGATTTCACTGAGATGGAGGATCATTTGAACCCCAAAGTTCATTCACCTGCAGGACAGATTTCCTGGACTAATGCTGGGCCTAAAGACGGGGCATGACCGGGACCCTGGATAGTCTGACAACAGAGGAGATTGAGCCGTTTTGCTTTCTCTTTTTTTAATAGCCAGCTTCACTTGCCATTGGGTTATCAACTGTACTGAAATCGTAGCTCAGGATGAAACTGCTATGTTGAAACCCTATTACACGCTTCACTTTGCTTCAGAATAAATAAATGAGAAGCAGCAATTGTGGCTGTGGATGTTTGTTTTCCTATATTAGTGCATTAGATCACAGCTATCTAGAGATAAAATACTTAGTGTATGAATTTGCATGAATTTGTTTCCAAGTTGATTCCTATTTTATGTGCTTATTTTCTTGCTATGTTTCAAAATTAATGTAACTTCCTTCCAGGAAACAAAGGCGTTCTAAAAATGACCAGGTTTTGTGTTCTTTATAGAAAATGCTAAGATGGGGAAGGTGAATGTTGTGACAACATTCAGAGCCTCCACAGTTGCTCGATAGCGCATAGGAAGAGGTGTAATCAATGGTGCCCGTCGTCACCATATGCTCTGAGTTCCGTTTAACTGCAAAAGTGCCCTTTTAGCATCTAAACCTATCTCATCACTTGCTCTCTGTACAAGATTCCATCGACCAAGATCCAGCAGGGCAATGGCATTTACTGCAGAGTTGTTTATTCTCAAAACCACATTCAGCCCACAGAAGCCCGCGTTTCGGCGTTGCTGCATTAGTGTATCATCTGGTCCTTGCTGCATTTCAGGTAAAGATTGAAAAGGAACTCAAAGGCATCTACCAGCGATTGTTTGAACCACTCCATGTGCCTCCAGATTTATTCAGAAGATTAACCGGACAGTTTTGCATGATCCAAACGTTGAAAAAGGGCCAGGCCTACGCTGCAGAGGATAAAACCTCAGTTGACGACCGTCTGAGTATTCTCCTGAAGGGAAAGTAAGTGCTCTAAACTGAAATGCCTTCTTTGCCTTGAATCTTCTCGTGGCCTCTGGGTAGGAAATGAATGGAAGGGACCATTGCCAACCAGTGGCAGAAGTGGTCACAGAGTTTGTTGTTGGCGAATGTTCTTGGACAGCTGCATTTTAGAACCGTATAGAGCAACGTGGTAAAGTTACGTAGAATTTACTGTTCTGAATCTTGTTGATGTCAAAATTTTTGTTTGTGAATAGTTTTCACCTTTTTGGGAAGTTTTATTTGAACTTAATGAGTCGGAATTGAAGTAGGTTTAAATTAGGCATTAACATTTAAGAAGCTTATGTGTGTTTCAGAGGTGACTTGCTTCTTTTTTTGAATATCACAAAAATACAATGTCTAGGAATACCAGGCTCCAGGAGGGAGAGCTAGTGTATGCTATCCTGGCACAACATTGACAGCACCCCTTTCCCTCTCAAAAATGTCCCAGGTTGAGTCATAAATTACATGATCACTCCAGCTATAACAGCAATGATAACCACTGGAAGGCATGTGTCTGCTTCAAGATGGACACTTTTTTTTCCCTTGGTGGTGGTGAAATTTATTATGAACTAAGTACTTGTGCCTCAGGAAGTGCTGTTTAATTGTGTCAGTCATTGGTGGGGTCTTTAAAATGTTACAAAATACAAACCCGTAAGATTATGGCAATTTTAAGGCCTGTCTTATTGTAAAGTATTATGTGTTTAATAATACCAATTTCTGTTATCAGAATGAAGGTCTCCTATCGAGGACATTTTCTGCATAACATTTACCCCTGTGCCTTTATAGATTCTCCTGAATTTAGATCAACCCAGATGCACAAAGGTGAAAAATTCCAGGTATGTTTTAGCAGGATTTTTAAGAAGTTTGAAACTAGTTAATGTCTCATTCAAAATCCAAAGGATGTGGAAGGAAAAGTGGTCATGATTTATTAAAAAAAGGTATTACCATATGGTATATATAGTATGATCCCATGTTTGTAAAACTTAAAATGGTGCATTTATGTGCACCAGACGAGCCCTAGGAAGACATATCCTAATTTAGCCATAGTGTTAACACCATCATTTCTGGGTTGTGAGTTTGATTGCTTCTTTTTCCTTCCTTTTTGCTTATTTCAGTTTTTATAATTTTTCCATAGAGAACATCTAATGCTTTTGTTATGAGAAAAAAAGGGAAATGTCAGGAATGGATAATAAGGGTTCTTTTTTTTTCCTACTATATACATTGTTTATTGAATATGTCCATCAAAGCATGAGAAAATTGGGATTTCTAGAGGCCACCTACTGTGACCCAGCTGGGCGGGGTCCTCCACTTCTCCTACAGGTGAGCTGGGGAGAAGGAGCCAGAAGGAAGGAGCCAGATCCAATGCAAATCTGCCTGTGTGGACCCTCCAGGTTCCAAGTGAGGCAGCTTTGGTAGACTCACTTATTAAATGTTGTAGCTTTATAGTTGATTCTTCAGGATTTTCTTCATAATGACCATGTCATATGCAAAAAGAGACAGTTTTACTTTTTCCTTTTAAATCTGTAGGACTTTATTTCTCTTTCTTGCCTTTTTGCACTGGCTAGAACGTCCGGGACAATGTTGAGTAGAAGTCATGAGCATAGACATCCTGTGCTAGACCTGAATAATCAGGGTTCTTAACACATGTCATTGGTTACCTTTATTGTGGAAAACCAGAAAACTGACTTTGCTCTAGAGAACTTATTTTCTCAATCTTTATGAAAAAAAAATCATCACCGTGCTCTTGTATATTTAATGAACATGTGTGAGGACAAAGAATGAAGCTGTTCATGGTTACAGTAATTTGAACGTGACTGCTTGGTGTGATTCTTTTTGTATCAAAAAAAATGCTCCATTAGAATGTGACGCTTTGTTCTGATTCTTCCTGGAAGTGTCCGGCTCACCTATTTTATTCCCCTCTTATTGTTAGGAAAGTAACCAAGAAAATGGGTGAGCATTTCCTTTAGTCTCAGCCTCTAGGTAAGCAGCAGTAAGGAAATAGCCTGAGAACAGCGTTTCTTATGAGCAGGAGGGTAAATCTATTTAGATAGGAAATGGAATAGAAAGAAAGGGATGTTATCACCTGAGGAAAGAAAAACCCGTGTTTCTGGATAACTAAATCTTATTTTTACATCTCTCTTTGAGATGCCACACAATCTGGGATGCCACATGGAGATCAAAGGGCACATGTGCAGACTTTAGTTAAGTTTATTTACATTGGTTTCAGGCCTGCCCTGCTCCCACCCTGCCTGAGGACCTGGCCTGAGTAACCACACAACTTGTTAAATTTGTGCGTTTTGCTAGAAGGTCTTGTGTAAATTTCCTCCCTGGCTGCAGTGCTGCTCCCAAGCTGGCTGAGCTTAGGATACAGGAGGAGGAAGCAGATGCTGCATCCTGGCTTCTCTGACTTACACTGTCCCTTGCATTTTAAAGAATCAGCTACGCTCTGAGATTTGTGTTCTTATGGTATCTTCCATCACCACCGTCTACAAACCAGCACACTTCTTTTCTCTCTCCTTCTTTCCTCTGACCTCCTTACAATTTCTTCTTCCAAAGCCCAACATTTATCTGCTGCATCCATTTTCCTGTTTATAGTAGCAAGTGGTTTTATGCAATAACTCAAGTTTCTTATAATCCTGAAGAGACTGAGATTTGGGGAAAGGGTGGGAAAGGAACCTCCTTTGTTTCCAGAAGCAAGTAGCCCCTGGGATATAATAGGTACTATCTTTTCCACCAGACTTGAAATTATACTTATAATTAAATTAACAGAAAAAGGAATTTCTACCAGTGGTCACAATTCTCTTTCTTCTTGGGGACTGGTGATTGGGATTTGATGCTGAAAAATGCTTCTCATGATTGATTGTTCCTCATGTTTCTAAAAACATGACCAGACTCGAGGTACCATAGCTAGGTGAAGGATATTTATTCAGTCTTTCCAAATGCCAGTCAGCTTTTTCCTGCATGGAGTCTGGTGTGGCATTTCCTGATTGGTCAGTGGATAAAAACTACTCCAGAATCATCAAATCTGTGCCCTGTACAGTTGGAGCAGACTCTGTCAGAGTAAGCCCTCGGGAGAGATTCTGTTTTGATTGTTTACCAAATGTTCCTATTGGCAGCTGATCAAGAGTAAAAATAGCTGCCGCACATCTGTGTAGGAGTATAATGCCTCTTCCTGAAGCAAGTTCCCAAATGAAAAATGCCACGTGCCCCCAGGACCAACTTTTCACGGTCTGTGCCTGTGGCAGAGGACACTTGAAATTGTCAACGGCCGGACTTCTCTACCTGGACGCCGTTTTACCTGCTAATCTCATGTCCCCCTAACTCTGAACAGTTACACGTGTTCCGACAAGGAGCTGCTTCCTTGGTATTTTTCTTTCTCTAAATTCACTCTTTGGTTGAGGTGCTAATATTCTACAATAGGGTGAAAGGAGGAAAGAAAGCAAGTGGACTGAATGACTTGTCGCTTGAGGTTGCACAGTAAATGTTGTGCAGGTTTATGCGGTAATGTTAACGACCCGCAGAGTGACGGAGCTGAGACAACGACTGCGGCCTTCCAGCTGCTCCCTGGGTGTTGTTTTTTACTTACAGACCCAAGCTGCTGCTTAAACTGTTGGGAGGATCGTGAGTGTCATTCCTACAAAAGGTAGAAGCAGCCTTCCTTGTTCGGTCCCTTCTTCCTTGTGCAGTTGTTTCATATCAAGTGAGCTTTGCTGTTTCCATTTTTCTCTTGGATTCTATCTCCCGCTGGTGCCCTCTCAGGGTCGACAGCACATCTTGTACTATGGAAAATCAAACCTTTATTGACCTTAAGGGAAGAAGAACATCTCGGAGGCAGATGTCCGAGCTCTGTGAAATAAAGGAACACTACGTTTTAACTGGCCTTTAAATAAGACCTTAGCTTAGTGTGAAGTAAATCTTTTGGTTAAGTTGCAAAGCAATGCATTCTGCCAGTCTTGACTGCTGTATGTCAGTAACGGTTAGTTGAATAGACCACTTCCGGGACATTTTCATGTTCCTGGCATGTGAAGTGTTGTGCAGTCCCCGAAGGAAATACTAAATTCTCCCCTGAGGACAGCCAACCAGTCACATTGCCAGAGCACCATTTCCTACTCTAGCACGTTCAGCCATTCCTCCGACCCCCTTCTTCTCGTGTGAGGCCTTTCCCTCCTGTGACGCCGTGGGCGAGGTGTGGGACTGATCCGGCGCCGGAGGTGAGCACGGCAAACCCGCTTCCAAACGCTCAGTCTGATTCTCTACCTGAAAGAAATTCTCTTGTGTCTTCCATTATCAAGTTTGCTATCATTTCTTCTGTGGAATTCTTCACAAGAGCTCAAGCCTGGCACTGCTGAGGTACCCTAATAACCTAAGAAGTGAATATATTTTATGGGAGCTTATATTCTTATCCTGGGGGAGGGTATAGCTCAGTGGTAGAGTGTATTTGCTTAGCGCGTGCACGAGGTCCTGGGTTCAATCCCCAGTACCTTCATCAAAAAACATAAACAAACAAACAAATAAATAAATAATAAATAAAACCTAATTACCTCCCTCCTCCAAAAAAAAAATAATTAAATTTTTAAAAATTCCTATATTGCTTAATAAAAATTCCTCATTAAAAATGTTTCACTTGACTGTTGAGATAGGAAATCATTAAAACTATTTGGCAGAAATGAGACATTAGCTATCAAGGAAAATGACCTCCGTCAATATGCTGACTACTGGCTTCCAACTAAACGGCTCCTCCCACAGACTTGTAAGACTCCTACAGATTGTCGGTATAGCTTATTATTTGAATATGTTATTACATTTAAATTTAAGAGTAATTCTAACAGGTTTAACATAGTTTTCAACCATCAAGAAAAAATGGTTGCTAAGCCAATTACAGTATCATATTAAAAGTACCACTGCCTCAGTGGAAACCTGAGCTTATGGAAATGGTTGAAGAAAAGCGGAACGCAGGTACATCACCCAGTACAATTACTTTTTCTTTTCCTGGATAATCTCCAACTCCTCTTTTAACTTCTCCTCCTACTGTGCATGGATTGCGTCTTCCGAAAGCAAGGATGGCATCTTTGCAGAATGAAGGGACCTCAACTCTCCTAACCATTTCTTCAACACTTGGGTGCTGGCTGGGCCACCATGAGTACCCAGTGTCCCGTCTCTCTGATTCCTCCCACACAGTATTATTGCACTGCCTTGTGTTCACTTACCCGTCTCCCGCTGCTTCTGGGTCTCCTCAGGACTGGCTTAGTTGTCTCGTGACCAACTTCTCTTCTTATGAATCTTTTTTCTTTTTTTGGTCACATGTCTGCTTATCAGCTCCCTCCACTGGACTTGTAGGCTGCATGACCTTGTGTTCAGCTGTCCTCGATGGTGAGCCCACCTTGTGGTCACTTCACCAAATTGCCTTCTGTGCGACTGTCTTGAGATTACAGGACACGTGGCGTAGCGTCTGGCCTGGTAGGAAAATATGTCTGGGCAGGAAGCCAGAAGGGCTTGCTCCGCCATCAGTTAAGTGTGTCCGTGAATAGATTTTTGGTGCTTCTCCTCTGGCGTCTGGAAAATGAGGAAGAATGTTACCTGTCTTACCTTAAAGGCAATTTTAAGGCTCCGCTTACATGATAGATGTAAAAGCACCTTAAATGTTTAAAATGTTAAATTAAAAAAAATGTTAAAATCCCTACAAAAAGTGAGTGGTATTCTGTGTGTCTGCCACTCCCTAGTCATCCCCGTTCTGTATTTGTCATTGCCACCTGAGACTGTCACATCTTTTTATTTATTATCAGCTTGCTCCCCTAGAATGTAGGCATCGCAGGAGCAGGATCTAGTCTTTCTTGTTCACCATGGTAACCTCAGGGCCTTGAACAGTGTCTGGTATAAAGTGCAAGGGTAGCAATGTATGCTGAAAGAATAAATGACATTTAGTGTTTTATGGAGTCAGAGAGCTGCAGATGCATTTCCTAAATCCCAGTGTGTTGGGTTTGGGGGATTCCCACTTTTAATATAATAAATAAGTGCAGTTTTACTTTTCTAGGAACATTGACCCACCTGTTGTAGCCAAGCCCTCTACTTAACTAAGGTCAGATTTCAGTTACTGACGTTAGGAGAGAAGCTAGGTCTTCTGTCTCCTCTCTTAGCAGCCATCAGTACCCCTTGTCATGTGAAATATGTTTATGTTTTTTGACTAACAAAGAGGAAAGAGCTTCTTTGGAAATATTTGCTCTGAGGCCCAGATGTGACTTCATCTCAGTTTGAAAAACCTTTATTTATCTCCCACTTGGACAGGCACTGGGTTTAATGCTGAGGGTGTAAAAATGGGTTTTGCCTGCTACAGTATTTGTGTTGATTTGTGCATTCCCTCAGACAGTAAATCTGCACTGAGCACCACTCGGTGTTGGAAGCCAGGGGTTGAGGTATGAAAAGGCACAGCCCCGGCCTTCAGGGTGCTCGGGAGAGACAGTGGACAACAGATGAGCTGGGTCCAGTGACTGGAGTGCCGCGGGCGCTGAGGGAAGGGCCCGCGTGGGAGGACAGCGTGCTGACGCTGAGCGTTCAGGGAGGCTGTGGCCCCTCGCTCTGCAGACGGGACTTGTTTAAGGACTACCTGAGCCATCACAGTGCTCTCCCACGTTCCTCTGTGGCGATACTGAAGAAGAGGGTACAGTTTCCCAGTCCTGAGCTGACCGGGGGTTCTCTGCATGTGTCCCCAGGGGGCTACCCTGGGCTACCATGATAGGACACACTCAGGAAATACCTGTGACGGAAGGACCCAGAGAAGGACCCTCAGTAGGCATATTCATCAGTAACAGTAGTGCATCCAGCTGTAGAGGTGCTGCTGACACGGTGGCCTCTCTTCAATCACCAGCCCTCACAAAACAGACCAACCACAAGACTTAGAGAGTTTGCTTTCATTTAGTCTGTGGATTGCTTGGTCTAAACATAATGTCACACAGACCTATAGAAGCGTGTGTGCATGGATCTTACTTTAACTAAATAAGACAAATCGTTGCTATAATCATATCCACTAAATTCTTCTACTCTTCCTTTCCCCCAAGTTACTGACGTCACAATTCATAAACATAGATACACTGTTTTTCTCTCTCTGTTTATTTCTTTGGCAGGTCACCATTATTGCAGATGATAACTGCAGATTTTTATGCTGGTCGAGAGAAAGATTAACTTACTTTCTGGAATCAGAACCTTTCCTGTATGAAATATTTAGGTATCTGATAGGAAAAGACATTACAAATAAGCTCTACTCATTGAATGATCCGACCCTAAATGATAAAGTAAGTGTTTTTCTGAGTGTTTATTTTGTTAAGTAAATGTGTATAATGTGGAATACTGCATACCCTCTACGCAATACATATTTTCCTGAATCTTCATGAATTAGTCATGCATTAAGTGAGGTGGGGATGCTTATAATTAAAGACCCTTCAGGGAATCATTTCTCAAGAGCGAGGACATACCATGTAGTTATTGTATTTGCCATGACCTAGTGGGGCATCTAGGAATGTCAGGGACCTCCATTTGTGGTGATGAGGTGCTAAACTCTTCATAAAGAGTCTTGCAAGCAATCTAAGGAAGGTGACAAGAAAGTGGGAGGGACTGGGGGGTGGCATAGAAGGCTGGGGAAGGCGGGGCAGTGGGGATGTTGCAGACACAAATGCTGACAAACCCCAGCCAGCCAGAGGTTGGCACTTTTACCCTGTGTCTTCCAGTCTTGCACATCCTCCCGGTCAGGTCCCCTCCCAAAAAGCCCCTAAGTGACAAGAGAGGTATGGGATAGAAGCCTGCGGCAATTCAATTAGGAATTTCAGCACTGTATAAATCATCAACAATTTGCAACTTGATCCTCATTTCCCTGCATTTGCTTGGAAGGAAATTAAAATGATTACAGAAGAGAACTTGCAAAACAGTTTCCGTGCTAAGTAAGTACTATTCTCCAGGGATGATAAGTACTAGTGTGTGCGCTCTTAAAGGCATCTTGTCTAGGCTGTTATCAAATTAAGTTGGTGCTTACTACTTTTCAAATTAATAAATAGGCTATCAAGTATATTAACTTTTCATAATGTATTTATAGTAATAACTTACGATAAAATTATAGATAACATTTATTGGGTATTTACTATATACCAATAGTCTTCTATTTCAAGGAAAAGTAAATGTCACTTACAGGGAATATGTGATCTAAGTCCCACAGAGCTCAGAAATCTGAAAACTTTGCTTTATAGACCATCAAAAAGTTGGACCACCAGCTCAGCCTTTGCACGCAGCTCTCCATGCTGGAAATGAGGAACAGCATAGTCAGCTCCAGTGACAGCGAAGACGGCTTACACCAGTTTCTTCGGAGCACCTCCAGCATGTCCTCTCTTCGTAAGTTATCCCCGCGCTGATAGTACTCTGGGATTTGATGAATGTTGCTAGAAAAGGACACATGACAGCTTTGATCAGAAAAGTAACTTTTCAAGTAGTGACTGGCCCCCGAAAGGTAATAATACAAACAATAAAACGTTTCCTAGCTTTTTTCCCATATCGTGGACCAGGTAAAATCCAACCCTAGAGCTCTTATTTCCATCTCAGAAATTGCCCACCTGTTTTGCTTCAACACTGGTTCCCTGGAATAGTGTGCAAGGATCCAGATGGTTTGCTGGGTATCCAGCTTCGTTGTTTTCGTAATTTTAGTAAAAGCCTAGGCCCAGCACTGTGTTTAAAGTGGTACCAAACAACAGCTGGAGGTTTCATTGCTGGCTGGTTATCTCAGTGTGAGCACCAGGAGTTAACAAGTAATCAGGTAGTAGAATTTTCCTGAACATCAAAGAGGCCACTCAACACCCCTGGGACTCACCTCACTTACATACCCACCAGGAGGCAAGTTTTCTTCTAAGATTCTTCTATAGTTTAGATTGTTTTAAAACATTTTAAATAACACTAGTTTTAAATAACACTAATGACATGGATGTTGAAGACTGATAAGTAAAATGAGGGAAGTGAAATTATTTCAAATACTAAATGCTTGGGATTAATGCTTAAAGTTATTTTAAGAATTATTCCAAGAATGATCATGTGAGAACATTGAATGAATTCATGGGAAATAGCAAAAATGGAGACAGATTCTCCCACTGCACTAACTAAAAGTTACTCATCTTTACAGTTGTATGTTAATCCAAAGTGACCTTTAAGAAAATCCAGACACACGGTCAACAATCCTAAATGTTTCTGTAAATGATCTTGTAATTTTGGATGCTTTAGATAAACCGGTTTAAGGATTTTCAGTCTGCATTGTCAGGAGAAGCTGGAATTGACAAGGCCGGGGAGTTGGTGTAAGCTTCCAAAGCAAAGTCTAGGCATAGAAATGTGTTGTGGACCTAACGGAGACTTCAGGCACAACACAAATGAGAAACTGGAAGTGGCTATGTTTTATTCCAGAGTAACTTTGTGAAAGTACAACTGAGGCTGACCAAACTCTGAACCTGCTAGCATGTCAAATGTATCCCCTGCTTGGTGGAAATAGTTTGGTTGTCAGTAAGCATTTTCAGAGGGACCCATCTTAGTCACATGTACAGTGATTGCTAGGAAAGGCCAGCTGGAACAGAATCATAGTTAAATATTGTATGTGAATTATTTTTCCCGTATAATAGCTTATTTTTGTAGTTACTTATTTTTATTTTAGTCCTACAGTCTTGCTTAGGAAGCCCCGAGAACAAGCAGAATATAGTACAGCCATTCGTTCTCTTAAAACCATTTTGTTTTTCTGCAGTATTTTATTGTGTAATCTAAATCTTTGGTGGGGGGGTAAAATAACATTAAAAAAACCAACAACCTTCTCTACAGAATGCTGTTTAAATAGAATTAAAACATGTTTTCAAAACTAATGTTTGTTGGGGGAGGGTATAGCTCAGTGGTAGAGTGCGTGCTTGGTATGGGTTCAGTCCCCAGTACCTCCATTAAATAAATAAATAAACCTAATTATCTCCCCCCACCTAAAAAAAAGGGGGGGGGGAATTAACGTGTGTGCTGTACTTGCCTCCAGAGATCTGTATCTGCAGGTGTTCCGTGGATGCGTCACATACTTTGTGCATAGAGACCTCTAATAATATGCTCAAATAATCATAAGCTGTGTGCCTTGGAGCAAGTCATGTGGCCTTTCTCATCTGACATGAGCCGTCATGTCTCAGCACAGGCCTGGATCTGGTTGCAACTCCTGGTCTGTTTCTTTCCTTCTTCCTTGTAATGAATCGTGAATTAATCCAAAAGGCTGTTCCCAGCATGGATAATTGAAGCTTCCATGTCTGTAAAGAAGTGTGCAGCCCTGGAGGGCAGGGTCACAGCTTTATGTCTCAGTTCCCTTGTCCAGTTGTACTTGGCTGAACTAAAAATGTGTACAAGCTGCTTGCGTTGTTTGTTTAATTATTTTAGCCTCAGGTTTTTCACACAAGATCTTACATACTGATGCCACATATATGTGCATACTTTTGAGTGTTAGTGTGTGTGTGTGTGTGTGTGTGTGTGTGTGTGCGCGCGCACGCGTGCGTGAGAACTACACAGCAAATCCACGTTCATACCTGCTTCCTTCAGACCAGGCCTCATTCTTGGCTTCACTCCCGCAGTTTAATGAAAAATATTAGTATTTGAGCACAACATGGATACTAAATATGAATTATTTAATTCACTCTACCACGTGAAATTCATTAAAAACTGGCTAGCTCCTGTTTCTCTCACCAAGATTTTATCCCGGAACTACTGAAGGCTGTTTTTGTTTTTCTTCTGCCAGGGCCATCAATGTGCCATCGACTTTTCCATATTACAAATTAAGTTCCTTGTAAAACAGAACACAAAACCAGTCTCTTAGGACTGTTAGGCCGAAATAACAGAATTCATCACCCTCAGAGCATGTGTGGTTGGCCTCAGTCAGTGTTGGGTCCCTACGACAGGCGCCGAGGCTCTTGTTAGTCTGGACTGTTGACATGCACGTGTGGCAGTGTGGCAGCTGCGCTCTGCAACAGCGTCAGCTTGGCAAATGCTAGTGGCGAGACGGGAACCAGCATAATATTGAGGTGCTCTCTATACATGATCACATTTAATCTTCACTGTAACATTGCACGGAGAGGTACCTTACTTTTGCTGGATGCAGCACTAACCCAATCTCTGGCTATGATGACGAAGAGGCTGCCTTCTTCCTCCCTCCCATGCACACTGGGTGCTGCTCCAGGCCACGTCTTCCTCCCCCTGGGACACCGAAGGAACAGCCACTGTTTAGGTCACAGCCACTCGTAGCAGAGGGAAGACAGTGGTGGCAGAGTCACCCCATGGCTCTTAAAGCTCCTGTTTCGAGGTGGCGCATGCCCCTTCCACTCATGTTCCCTGGCCCAGAGAAGTCACTTGGCCAGAACCACCATTGGTGGGTGGATCTTTAATCTCCCTGCACAGGGGAGATGCAGGAAGGGGCCTGGGGAGGGAGGGAAAGCAGGTACGTTGTCAATAGCACAGTCTCTACCATGGTGGGTGTCATTCCACGCTACAGGGAGGAAATTGGGGAAATGAGATGCTTACCGTTCCAGCTCCACAGGGGGAGGTGCTGGGAGACAGACCTCCATGTCCTGTCTGATTCCTCAGTCCATACTTTTAGACCATATTGCCTCTGTGGTTTAAAAGGAGGAAAAAAACCACATGAAACATTTGATGGGTCACTTTCACACCCCTTTCTAACACTTGAACCTGACGACCCTGCCAGCCACACGCGGTAGCTGTCACTCACTGCTTTGCAGTGAAGCCCACTGCATTCAGTGAGAAGGCGGTGTTTGCCCAAAGTCAATTCTCCCCCCTCCAGCCCACTTCCTTCAGGAAACCTCCCATGCTCTGATACCTTCACTAGGACCAAGCAGTGCTGCAGATAAGTTTTCTCAGACCAGGTAACTTCCATTTCAAAGAAAATTTTGGCCTTATTCTTTGTACGGGGGTTCTACATAGGGACATGTGAAAATATCAGTTAGCTTTTGGTTGCCTTTCACTTTGCCTCATGTGTACTTATACAATTACAAGCAGTGCTGCTCTACTGAAATTAAATTTATTTTATATACTTTACGTTTTAAAAAAAATTTTGATAGAGGTACCGGAAATTGAACCCAGGACCTCCTGCATGCTAAGCAGTCACTCTTCCACTGAGCTATACCCACCCCCCTATTTTATATATTTTCCTAATTGAACAATTTTGACATTATACATTCTAGTTGTTAACTCAAATGTAGAAGTAGATTTAAACATTAAAATCCATTCCAACATTTCTCAGTTATTTTTTAAATCAGGATCAGGATGTGCTCGTTGCATTTGGTTGAAAAGTCTCTGAACCTCTAGGCTCCACTTCCATTTCTGTCTGTTTCTCTGTGTGTTTCTGCTTTTTAATTTTGTTTGGTTTGTCGTATAGAGCAGAGATTCTTAAACATTACGGTGCATATGAATCGCTTGGAGCTCTTACTAAAGTCTTGATGCAGCAGATTCAGGTGGGGCCTAGGAGCCCACGAGCCTAACAGGTACCAAGGTGATAGCAATGCGGCTGATCCCTGAACCACACTTTGAGGAGGCTGTGGAGTTCCCTACATTCTGAAATCTGGCTGAATGCATTCCAGTGGTGGTGGTTAAGATGTTGCGTGTTATTTCCTGAGGCTCCAGTAGATTCTGGTGAAAGCTCTGCTTTTAAATAATTTAAACAGCATGGGACCTAATGGCACAAGTGTATTTCATAGCATGGCACAGCAAATGTTGTCAAACAGAAATGCAGTTCAGGAAAAGGTGAAAGGAAACTTTAAGTGAACTATTTCAGTGAAATTACTGCTGATCCTGTTTCTTATGTTGGCCTCTACTTTTGCACACGTCATGGGATGCTCAACCCAGAGCCAGATCTCTGCTCTTTCCCACACAGGGTCTGGATTCTACCACAAATGATCATTTAAAGGCAAGAAATGAAATAGTGAGATAGTCTGAGAAAAATTGCTTCCTGTTTATTCAGTAGCATGCAATCCAGTTAATTTAACTCGTTTTCACTTTCCTATTGCTTCATTTACTTGAGTTGTGTGTTTGGAAGTGTGATTGTGAGATAGGATGTCCAGGACATGTGAGGAGGATTTAATGCCTTCTTATGGATTAAGCTTTCTTCTCTGTGCTCATGGACCAAGCTGTTCATCAGGGTGCCTTGTCGTCATCTTGTCTTCCCTTCCTTACAAGGTTTAGCTCCCCATATGTAATGTATGAAACACACACACATACACAGATTGTGTGTACTTGGCAGTTCCATCACTGATCAATGGTGCTGACCGCAGGGTTGTCATGGCAACAGGTGGACATGTTTCCTTGAAAGTTGAGAACTTTACCTTAGTATA